TAAAGGTAAGACTGATAATGAAATATGTGGTAAGTTACCATAGCTCTTCTAATACCAACTTAAATTTCTTTTGAGTAATAGAAATATTAGAGATTTAGCAACAAGACCCTCTATCAATTTTCACAATTTAACACTTCATTATTTAGAATAATCAAAAGGAACAATTTCAAAAATGTATAGGTTATTATTGCAATTAGAAATTTTAGAAATTTATGAAATCAGAAATATTATTGCAATCAGATCCACCATATGATTTAAAGAAGCTTGGAATATTAATCTTGGTAATCCTGTACAAGAGACAAATTGGCAAAAGTTATGGGCAATGAGTGGATTCCCTTCAATTTCAATGTAAAAAATGCAGTGGAATATATACAGTAACAGTAATAGAGTTGAAAGGGACCTTGGAGGTCATCTAGTCCGACTCTCTGCTCTCACAGGAGACCTGTACTATTTCTGATAGATGAATTTCCAGTCTCTTCTTAAAAGTCTCCACTATTGCAGCATCTACAATTTCTGAAGACAGTTTGTTCCACTGGTTAATTGTTGTCACTGTTAGGATTTTTCTCCTTAGTTCTAGGTTGCTTCTCTCCTTGGTTAGTTTCCAACCATTGTTTCTTGTCATGCCTACAGGTGCTTTGGTAAGTTAGTTGGCCCTCTCTTCCTTGTAACAGCCTTAAAATATTGGAAGACTTCTATTATGTCACCCCAGTCCTTCTTTTCACTAGACTAGGTATACCCAGTTTTTTTAATCATTCTTCATGTTTTAGCTTCTAGGCCCCTAATCATTTTTGTTGTTCTTCTCTGAACTCTTTCCAAAGTCTTAACTTCTTTTTTGTATTAGGCTGACCAAAACTGGATGCAGTATTCTAAATGTGGTCTTACCAAGGCTTTGTAGAGTGGTACTAATATTTCACATGATCTTGATTCTATCCCTCTGTTAATGCAACCTAGGATTGCATTGGCTTTTTTGTTGCTGCCGCACACTGTTGGCTCATCTTTAAATGGTTATCCACTATGACTCCTAAATCCCCCTCACTATTACTACTATTGAGCCAGATTTCACCTAGTCTGTACCTGTACGTTTAATTTTTTTATGCCTAAGTGTAAGACTTTGCTTTTCTCTACGTTAAGTTTTTTTTTTTTTTTTGATAGGGACCAATGAACAAGTCTATCGAGATCCATCTTGAGCCTATCTTCTGGGATGGTCCTTGATTTTATCAAGCTGCCACGCATATATCAAATTTTTGACATTGAAGAAGATGTCAAAAAAAAAAACATTTTCTCATTTGTGGTGGTCATGCAATAAAGTTATACTCTTTTGGCATGAACATTTTGGAGAGATAAGAACCATCATTAATCAAAGAACTGAAAGGTGTCCAGAGTAAGGCTTATTGCATTTATTTATAGGACTAAATCATAAGCTTAAAAATAAAGAATATATTATTTGTTTAATTTTAGCAACCAAATTAATAACTGTGCAATATTGGAAAGTCTAGATAACTTAATAACTGAGTTGCAGATTAATAAGACACCTTCAGTTGCTAAATTAGAAAAAATGTGAAGTTAAAATAATGAGACATCAGAAGCAGGAACCACAATTTTATCAAATATTGATTGATTTTATAGTTTATCTCACTAACAATAGATTATAATCTGGTACACTTTATATGTATGGAAAAGTTTCATAGGTGTATTACCTGCATCTTTATTCACACTGCAGTAAATTTATTGATATTTTTAATATTTTTTTCTTTCTGAATTTTTTTCTATGTATCTTGGATTGATTTAAATGTAGATACCTGATTTTGTTTCATAAAACTATTTTTTTTAAATGAATGGATTTTCTCTAGAAGGAAAACACAGAATTGGAGAAATGATTCTAAGAATAAATTCACGGTTTGCAATGCTTCAAACTGAATTCCATGAGCTTTTTGGAAGTATGTAGAGATACAAATCCAGCAACATTTGGAAGTGGTTGCATCTGTCTGTATACCTTACATTTCCTTTTCTGGGCAGGATTTTTGACCCATTTCTGGAAGTGTCCCAGCCTACTTCCCACTCTTGAAGTGTTTACTCTAGATAAATGAATAGATAGAGAATAGACATTCCATTCTTTTTATTGTGATTTTTTTCTGTTGGAGAACAGCACACACCTATGAAATCATAGGTATGTGCTGTTCTCCAACAGAGAGAAGTTTATGATTTAGTTGCATAGTTACATAATTTCATTTAATAACTAAAAATGAAAAGCCAATGAGATGAAACATTCTGCTCATCCACAGTAGATAGATATGTTGATAAACTGGGACTTCCAGGGAAGAAATAATGAACTGAACACTGAGGTGGAATGAAGAGTTGACAGGTAGACAGGATCTTCCTAATTCCTCTCTGGACAAGGAAAGGACTTGAGATCACTCACAAGTGCTTCAGACAGTTGCTCCTTTTGAGAAGATTGCAAAACAGAGTCTTGGCAAGGTTTAGAGCTCTGGGAGACAGCAGAAAGCCATTCTTTCTCAAACTTCAACCCTTTTCTAAGGACATCAGATTTGTATACTTCCTTTTTTTAACCACTTTCAGAAATTGTTTGTTAACTGCTTTTCAACTTGGATTGACAAGTTCTGCAGAACCAAGTGAGTTTTTTTCAAACTTTAGTGAAATAAGTTTAAATACAAGTTTAAGCACTTTTTAAAAACTTTAACAGCAAGTTTTAGAACTTTGATTTTGGAAAGTTAAAAATGGAGTATTTGTCTAAATGGATTTGAAATAGAATTTTGGAATTAATTATAAAAAACCTTGCCATGAGGAAATGCTTTATTCTGAATTCTTTAAAAAAAAAGTATGAACTTTGAACACTGGACATATGAAGGAACTGGAAAAAAGATTACAATTAAAGAAGAAGAATACTTAAATTTTACTTACTAATACAGTAAGTATTAGTAATAAAAATACCTTAACACTATTTATTTATTTATTTATTTATTTATTTTAAGAGTATCTGCCTCTATAGGTAGATTGTGTTAAAAGACACTGTGGAAGATGAAAAAAGTTTTATAGGACAAAACTGAGACTGATCTGAAAGTGAATTTTAAAAAGACAGGCTACAAGAATGATATGGAAAAAGATGCTACACTACATATACAAATGAAACTAGCTGATAATTAAAAGAGAAATGCATAGAACAAACCAAAAACTTTCATATATTTTAAAAGAGATTTGTTTAATCTTTGAAAAATTTTGTGAAAAAGGACAAAAAAAAATAAAAAGAAATAAAACTTTAGGACATCATCTGAATAGACTTTAGATTAAGATTCTTAGAAGTAAAATGAAGGAATATAAAGTTGATTTATTTGATCAAAGTTAAAATAGACATGTTGAAATCTCTGGTACCCCATAATGGAATTTTGCTGATCGAGACTGAATGAGGAGTTGATTATAGATAAAGAATGGGTTTGGGGAAGAAAAGATTATTTGTTGTAATTTAAGAGAAGATTATAAGTTAGGAAAATTATTTATACTTGTGATGATGTGGAAGGCCATTTCTTCATATATTACTTTTCTTTTTCTTTACTAATTATTATTCTTACTTTCTTTGCTATTATTCTTTTTATTTTTTATTTTCTATTTTTCTTTTTGTTTATTTTTCTTAGTTTGTACTGAATTTTTACATTAATTGTAATTTTTAATAAAATTACTATAAAAAGCAGGATATACTGCTGAACTAATAATAAAATCTGGATACCAACATAGCTTTACTTGTTTCACTAAGGCATGAAGAAGTGCTATATACTATTCGATGTTAATTTGGATTAAGGAACTGAAAAAGCTTCTTGGATGAGAAGCAAAATATCTTCAAGGAAAACAAAGTTCAGTTGCCTTTTTAAAAAAGCACCTTTGGGACATCTATGACCTGGATTACTGAGAATATCCACAGACATTTGATTAAGGAAGTATTATTGAGTGAGAGCTATTTGAAAAGCATCAGCTTTTAAATAAGATTATTCACATCAGCATTTAACTGACATAAAAATGTAGAAATAACAGGACATGTTTTTTAAACAATTCCTTTGTATTATTCCCCATGTTATATTTATTTCAAAGGAATAATGGTAATAACAGTAATGTGACGCTATCTACCAACAACGCTCAGAGATGTATTGGCACAGTGATGGCATTTCCTCAGTCTCTGCTGCCACCTGGTGGTAGAACACTAGAGATGCATGCTGTGGATCCCTGCTGCTTGACTCAGCAAGGGGTGCAGAGTTTAAAATGAAGAGTCTTGAGCAATCAAGCATATTGATTCCCATTTTTCCCCTCCCAGATGGAGTCTGTTTCCTCATCACATGGAAAGCATACCTGCGTGGGCATGATTAATACCCCATGTACAGATCTACTCTCTTCAGAAGCCATAATCATATTTTAGACACATAGCTCTATGTGAAGTTCATAGGTCAAGGAAATAATTCTGATAAAGAAAAAGAAATCCATCTTGGATGAAAAATGATTTCATGACAGCATTTGCTGTGCTTAACAGAGTATTCAACATAATACAAATCTGGCTAAGAGCTGTCCAGTGACTACTATTATCCTTGTTCCTGGTAGACAATACTGGGAATATGTTATACCTTTAATTGTTGAAAGCTACCTCAGGTGTTAAAAGAAATAGGCAGGGTATAAATTCACTAACAAAATAACATGAAATAAAAATAGAACCACTTTTATGGCAAAGTTTACTTCTAATCATCTCCAGCGAGACATTTTTTGCCAATAAGTGTGCTGCAAGGGAGTGGAGTCAATATTCTAACCTTTCAAAAGTGATTGACCTACAATTCCAGACTGAATTGGAAACACAAGATATCTCCTTAGCAAGATCATGTCTATAGAAACATGCAATGTACCAGATCAGGAAATCTGAGAGAGCACGCTGATCTGATTTTTAGGCTGAAAACAATTCCATAAAATTATATCTGACCTGCTGTACTCAGATCATGTGCAGGACTTACCTCCCTCTCATGCTGGATTTCTCTGGATTTCCACCCCAGTAAATCCATCTTCATCTGCTTCCAAGTTGAACTTCTCATATATTATTTTCCATTACACTACTTGATTTGCAGAGTCGGTCATGTTTCTGTTAACTTCTGTTGTTTCAATTTGAGTTAACTTCAGTTTAGTGTTCCTATTATGTTATCTGCTTTGCTGCTGAACAGTTTTAAGCTCTTCTTAGCATGTTGGAGAGGCTGGTATGTTGACTATTTTTGCTCTTCTGGGCAGTTAATCCTAGATTAGAAAAGAATGTTTGGTGTCCTCCTGATAGCACATTCACTGGTACATAGGAAAGGACATTGCTCAAATGCCTTACCACTCCCTGATGTAAAACAAAGTGGGAATAGCCTCTACTTTCTACATCTTCTTTATGGAGAATGGTGATTTTGGAAGTCAAATCAAAACTTATTTTAAAATAAACTACAATGATCAGTACATATTTTATGGGCAGAATGATAAGTGTTTTGTCCTGTTTTTGTTGTGAAGAATTACAGTCTGGAATGGAAGGAAAAATGATTTGATCATGATTTAAAGGAGGTTTTGAGAGTTACAGAGCTTGGTGAAACTCTGATCAGAGAGAAAGAGATTATCAATGAATAATTCTACAACTGGTAGTCCTTTATGAAATTGTGATTCTGTCCACTAGTAATAATAGTTTTCCTTCAGATGGCTAGTTAGATTTCCTCTGCAACTCCAGAATCAGAAAAGACACTAAGGCCTGCCTTTGCCTGGTTTCTAATATTTTACACATCTTTTTACATGATTTTCAAGTTTGTTTTTTAATTATACCATTTGCTATTTTAAAATTTGATTCTCAGCATCCATTATTGTGCATTTATCTTTATTGGGTTTTTAGTTTTGTTTGAGCTCATTGTTCTCCAAACAAACATTTTCCATGCATTGATGACATTACCTAGCCTGTTAATGAAATATCTGCTGAAGAGCAACCAAGCTCAAACAAGAACCCAAAATTTCATTTCTGAGCTATGTATATTCAGTATAGATATATTAACATAAATAAATGCTTACAGAATAAATAAATGCTTAGAGAATAAATGCAGACAGTCAGGTTGACATATGCTGATGATGCATGTCTATTACAACACAGATGGATGGTTCTATGAAATCTGATGACTCAACATACAAAAAGGTGTGGTTCTTTTTAATGAACCTATGCCCAAGATTACATCTTGCTATCAAACACTGAATTTGAAAGGGAAAAGGAAAAGCAAAACCAACATGGACAGAATTCCCCAAAACCAACAAAAAATTGCACTGATTTGTGTACATGAAATCTTCTCAGTAACGCAGTGGCCTAGAGATGAAGATGCTCACCTCCCACTAAGAAGGTTAAGAGTTCAATCCTAGGCAGAGACAAATGTTTCTCTATCAGGGCACAAAGAGAAAATATCTGCTGTGAACTCTGCATAGGTGTCAGGAAGGGCATCCAGCCAATAAATGCTCAACTCCAGTCACCCCGACTCCACCCTGAAGCAAGAGAGTACATAAAAAGAAAATATATATACATAAAGCCTTTCCTTCCCAAATTCTACGTGTGATTTTGAGAAATTGATGTCAAAAATTAACATCACTATAATACACCCCCTTGATTCCTCACTACAATTTCTTTTGGCTTCTACTTATGGTTCCTTTACTTAGAATATGTTTTACATTCAGGATTCAGGAGAGTTTTCATGCAACTAATATGCAAATATTATGGAAATATCAATATTGGGAAGAATGAGTCACTTCGTTATTATACTGTATGGAAGGGGTTAGACAAATTGTGATTGCCATTAGGATATAATATTTTATATATTGATGTAAGAAAACAAGTCTGTTAGATAAAAAAATATACATTAATATATTCCTAGTTAGAATGGATATCATGATCACAGTGTCTAATACACTGTTCCAATTCAAAAGGTTTGTTGAAGTGGTTGCAATCACTGATGCAATGGAAATGTGTCTGTCAACATTTGTTTAATCCTTAGCATCTGGCAGTCAGTGATATCCAATATCCAAGATTTAATTCAAATATCATGGAGCATAGCCACTAAGAGTCTACAGCCCATGAATTTGTATAATATGCTTTTCCCGATTTTGAGGCTCCTGTCAGCCTTGGACAAAATTTCCAAATGTGTCATACCACAACTTTCTAATTCCAAGGAAGGTAGACTAAGATTTATATTTATTGTAGCTCTATACATTTGGAGAATAATGAATCTGTATAATATATAGAAGTTTGTATGTACACACATATACAAATACATATACACAAAACCATTCCAATATAGTTAGTACATAGCATTATGAAGCCAGTTTCATATTTTAAAAGGGTAACATTCATTCTCACCTCACCATCATTAATAAACTGAAGATCTCCAACCATATTGATTATGTAAACTAGAGTATTTCAGAACAGAGTGTTTGGAAACTGGAAAAATTTCTGTAAGTTGTTCTCAAATATCCTTGACAGGACATTTCATTCAATTTAACATTTAAAAAACAGTCTTTGTAATTTATAAGCTCTTAAGCAAATGTAAGTGAGAGGCAAAGCTAACATGTCTGATAATTCACTCTATCTGACTGACAACTGTGCTGAATTTCCCCTGTGGTGCTAGTAAAACATTGTTACAAAAGTAATAACATACCGAGAAAAAAAGGATCATAAGGATCATGCTGTCAGCTTTAATTCTGGAGAACAAAAACCAGTGAGATGATTTCTGATAAGATCAGTCCCATACAACCCAGGAACAGGGGTGCCAAATGCTGAATGGAGTAATGTGATCTGAGCTTAAAATAGCTGCCAAGTATACCATGGAGGAATAGTTCCATGAAATATGTTGCAGCATGAATGAGCTGTTCAGAAGTAAAATCACTGAACTGCAAGAGGTGATGAATGGAAAAAAAATTCCCTACCCTCATCCCTACCTGATGTCTTCTCATGTTATTCTCCCATGCCTTTTCAATGTTCAAAAATAGTGAAATTTCAATTAATACGTGGATTTCTTATGTCATGGTTATGGCACGATCCTCCTCAGCTCAGAAAGTTCCAGGTTCAGTCTTTGGCATTTTCAATTCAAAGGATTAAGTGATATGACTGTTTGCATGAGGCTCTGGGAACATGCTGTCAATTAGAATAAATAATACAGAACTAGATAGACAAATATATTATAAGAATGGAAGGAAAAAATAATAGTTTAAGAAAATATATGTTGAGAGTGGGGGGATGGGGTGGGGGGCATCTACAAATCAGTAATTAACTGCCTAAGTAGGTATCCTTAGTATCAATATGTGTATTGTACCGGTATGTCCAAATAATTCTTTTTATTATACTCTGTGATGATCTGCCTTGTCAAAAAATCAGCATCCAAAAAGCATGTAATTTCTCCTGAAAATGAACAATAGGTGAACATTAATAGTAGTGATGAGCAAAAGGGAAAAACAGTTGGGAATTTCTCCATTGCAATGTAACTTATCTTGCTCACATTCATTCTGCTAATTATCTGTCATGTATTATTATTATCATTATTATTGCTTACTCTTAATGAAAAACTATAATTATAACACCACTTCATAGCTACACAGCTTCTTTTTACTGTTATTGTGCAATAAAATTTCAATCCAGTTTACATTTAAAGCTTCACAAAGACATGTTTTGATTAGAAAATGAACGTGGACTGTCTTATTATATTAAAAGCTTTTAATTATGTATTAAAATATATTTGATATTTCAGATTTCTTGGCTATCCACTCATATAGCATGGTTTATATTTGCTTTTCTAATTTTATTGCCCATAACCTTTTAAGCTTGTAAGTATATTATCTATTTCTTGCATACTTTTAAAAATATATATTTAAAAGAAAATTATTTTTTTTTAAAAAAATAAAGCTTTATTATTTATTTTTTCTATAACCACAATCTCAACCTGCAAAATTATTATACACTTCTGGAATTACCATTCAGGTGCCTCAATGCAACCATGTTACAGGGAAATACCACTTTTTTATTGGGTCCATGGACCTCAGTAGTTAAGCTGATTGTATTCAATTGTCAACCAGCCAGATGGGGAAGTATTCCCATAGGCCACAGGTAGGGAATGGCTGGCTCAGAATTCTGGGAGTTGAAGTCCACAAGTCATAAAAGTCATTCCCCATCCCTGCCATAGACATTTTCTTAAGCATTGCTCATATATAGCACCCACAAAACCCATTAATTTTTTTTAAAAAACTGCTCATATATAAAACATTACATGAAAATGGTCATGTGTTTTAAAATAACTCTATAAAATATTACTGAAAAAGCAGCCAGACAATATTAATATTAATGAAAAATCCTAAAGAGAGCAAACAAATCAGAAGGCTGAAGAAATGGTAGGTAGATGTCTAGATAAGGCCATTTCCATCAAATTTATTGGATGAGTCAGAATAGTTTCCTAGTAAAAGTGCATGATCCAAAGGCAACTGGATCTGAAAGCAATTGGAGATAAGGAAGCTTGGCTTTTTCATAGAATGGGAAATAGTATGGAACATTAAACCAGCTTTGAGATCTATACGTAGAATAAATGCATAACAACCAGATTAGTAAAATGCATATCCAGGCAAACAGCAAGTTTTATGTTTTGCTAATATAATGAAATTTAGCACCATCATTTGGAGAGAAACAGAGAGCAAGAAGAAAAGAAAAACCTTCCTTTATATAAATATTTTCCTCATTAAGTTTATATTTTTTTTAAAAAAGGGAACATATACACTAATTTTTTTCATAGAAAACATATGTCAAATACATATATATGTATTTTTCTAAAGAAATCCAATTATCATATGTTGCCACAAATGATGAGATAAGAATTTATCTTTGAAATCTTCTCTTATTTGCAAGAAGCAGATTTGGCATACTTTCAATTGTTAATCACTTTCTCCTGGTGAATAGATGATGCCATGACTAGCCAGCTTCTATGTAATCATATTCTGAGGCATACAAGTATATCTCCTATACCAGTAGTGTATTCAGACAACAGAGAAGGCTTTGGAAAGATGAAGACAGAAGTTCCATAAAAATGGTCACTTTAAATATTTATCGGAACATAATCGTGCTGGCTTTAATTCTACTCTGAACCACTGTGGTAAGAGGAGAAGAAAGAAAATCAAAAGAGGGGATTATATTGTAGCAAAAGAGATGTAAACAGACTGTTAAGAGACATACTTTCTTACTATTACCAAAAATAGAGGATGGAACAAGTTTTCCAATGAAAACATGGTTTTAATTTTAAAAAGTGAATGTTTGCAAAATGATAAGAAATAGAAGGAGCAATAGTAGACTTGATATATGTAGACCTGGCTCCAGGCTTAAAAGATATAAGTAATATTTCTAATACCTCCTCCATGCCCTTCCTCATCTACCCTAACTGAATATTGACATGCATTGTCTGGCAATGGTAGCAATACATGAAGCAGCCTTCAATGCCCCCTTTACATTACCCATAGTACTTCAGTCTTACAGTAGATTAAGGTATTAAGGGGAAAGCCTATCATCCTGAGCCAAAACAAAAAGGACACCATATGTAAGGCTGGGGCCTTCTGCTTAAGTTGCAAGAGTGAGTAGCTTTTATCAATCTGGTGAGAGAAACGAAGTGGGTCGAATCAACTGTAGTCTAGATAAGAATGAAACTCAATATAGTTTTGCTTCTTCAACATGGGAAGTGTGTTGTGGTAATATATGAGTTTTTAAAAATATCATTATTCTCCATTCCATATGATCACCCTTTCTACATATCCATCATAGGTCTTCCTTCCTTCCTTCCTTCCTTCCTTCCTTCCTTCCTTCCTTCCTTCCTTCCTTCCTTCCTTCCTTCCTTTATATGTAAGACAACAAGTGGACTATGAAAAGGTGATTGACGGATAACAGCTTAAACGATGTGATCAAACGGATCAAATTATAAACTTCACTGGACACCAAAACATGATGTAAAAATGAAATAATAATAATTATCATTATATCATGCATTGTTTTGATGCCCCGGTAAGCAACAACAGCTGCTGTTTGCAATGGGCTGAGCTAGATAACTTTTACCCATCATCTTTTGTAGTTCCTTTGAATGAGTTGTTTATTATTTGGACCACATGGATTTGTTGTATTTACACTGAACAGTATTCATTAGCTAAAGCATTAAATGGATAATTATTTTTAAGAACAGAACTGCTTGCTCATAGTAAAACTAATACTGAGAATTGAAACAAAAACAAATAGAGTAAGCATTGCACGGGACACTTGTTTGTTCAATAAGGTTGCAGGACCAATTCAAACAATAATTCTAATGAAGGATTACACACAGTCCAAACTGCTTCTCAGATGACTCTTAAGGAGACCAAAGTTGGCCCTTCTTTCATGAGCAATGTAGGTGTTTGTATCTGGACTTCGCCATATAATTTTGCATTCTTTGTGCCTAAGAAAAGAATAGAATTTGACTGCAAGCCTAATTAATGATCAGACCTTATTTATTAGCTGTCGTAAGTATACAGATCCTTACACTGGAAAAAGATATTGATGATAGAGAAAATTTAGATCTATATTGAATTTAAAAATGTACCTGTTTCTGGAAATTAATATTATTATATTATTATATAAAATTTTTAAATTTTTATTGCTAAAGACATGAAATTTGGGATCTTTCTGAAAACAGAATACAAAATTCATTGTAGATGAATTGAGAAGGTTGACCTAAAAGGCCTCTCCTGTAATCTTTTCCTTACTTCCAGCCACAGGAGAGAAGACCTAGTTTCATTGTGAATGTTCCTTCATTAAGTTGCTAATGTCAATGATGAATTGTTGAATTGGCCTGCAGCCAGCACCTACTTCTTTTACATATTTTTTTTTGTGTTAATACATGTAGGAGTATTTGAAGAAATATGAAAGGATTATATTTCTGAAACAATTTTTATGTCCTTCATGAGAAGAACATATAAATATTGGCTACAATCTTGTGCATATTTCTGTGAAGTAATCTTCACTGAACCTAAGCATCACACTTCCAGTATTACTGAGTAGACAATATGAAAATACATTAGTCATTTAAGTCAATCTGCAATGGTACCATGAGCATTCTATGGTAGTAGGGATAACAATGTATAAAAAACATTTTTAGCACAACTTCACTACACACTAATACTTCAAGCACCAGTTACCCAGCTAATCAGAATGCAGATAAATCGTACGTCCTACCAGGAGGAACAACATGCCAGAAAACATAGCAAAAAATATTCCAACTGGAGCCAGTATAAAAGACCAGCCGTAACGAACATACATAGAATAACTTGAACAGTCAATTTTCTTCTGAGCTTCATAGTTTTTGAGATCAGCCACTGCTTGGACCCAGATAACATATAGTACAACCACCAGGGAGAATAGGATGCCTAACAGATGGAGAAGAAAGAATGTTTTACTAAATATTTATGGCAAAATTATCATACAAGAACTCAGAAATATCTACAAAATTTAGAAAAACATTAAAACATATTCTCCAGTCCTATAAATCACAATTTCACAGAATGGATTGTTAGATTTATATCCTCCATTTTGTTCAGAATCTCAAAGCAGCATTCATGACACTCTCTCTCTACATTCATGATACTCTCTCCTCCCATTTTTTCCTACAACTACTTTGCAAGGAAGGATGGGCTGAAAGAAAATAACTGGTTCAAAGTCACCCAACAAGCTTATTTGGCTAAAAATGAACTAGAATCCAAGTCTGCTTCTACTCTTGTCTTCTTCTCTAGTGGGAATCTTTTATGAATGGATATAATAACAACTAAAAAATATTTATTGGCAAACTTATTTACTAGTTGCATATGTTCTAAGTTTTTTTATACTATATATTACTCAGCATCATTTTAGAAGATCAGCATATAGATTTGTGATATCTATCTATTCAACCAATAGAGAAAATATTTGGCCCATCAATTTTTGGGCTTTGGTTGAGATTGAGGAGAGCAGATTACCAAAAACCAGTGGAGGACCAGATGCTCCAATCCTTGGGTTAAACTTTCATTATTTACATGACTTCTTTCAAAACAGATTGAATGCTTAATTGTACCATTGGTTTATTACCAAGATGAATGCACCAAATGACACTCATTGTTCTGGGAGAAAAATGTTCCATTATTATGATCATTATCACAAATGGCCATTGCCATTCAAGCCCAGTGATTATGATTACATTCAAAAAAAGTATGGATTTTTAGAAACGTTTGAGATTGCTGCATAGTTCCTTTGTTCCAACTTGTTAAGACCTTTTGCTTGGACAGTTCATTAATTAAAGTAAGTGTATTAAAGCTGTAATGAATCACAAAGGGATGGAACACATTACTTCAAAAACATAAACAATGAATTCAGGAGAGATTTGGATAAATAAGGAATTGTCTTTCTGTTTCTCTCCATCCCGCATCATTACTCATTTTGCTATTTTATTTTTCAGGGGCACCCATACTTTATCCACAAGGTATAAAGTAACATAGGGATGAGAAGCAGGGATTAGCAGAAGTCTTCATTCCTATATACTTCTGGTTCTTTCAAAAGTAAATAAATGAGTAAAGAGAAGTATCTGTATGCTCGAACAAATTCTTGATCTTCCCACATAGCAATGCTTTTTCCATACCAACAATGATGGGTTGTTTTTGGTACAAAGTTTCCATAAGGGAAGGAAAATGGGAGAGACAGAGATGTGATCAACAGGTGCTGTTTAAAGTGACAGGCTCCTCTACAGTTCCACTAGTACTACAGAGATCTGAAAATCCTTAATTTTTTAAAATCATTCCAGACTTTGTTCTTTCTGTTGGCTTTGTCAGCAGGATGTATATGGACATCTTCTGATCTCATAAGAAAAGACTGTTCTCCTGTCAAGGCACTTCATGCAATTCACACAGCTTCAATCAAATCCTACAAAGATCTAATGACATAAGTCAGCCTGAAGAGCAGAAGACAAAGTCATACAATGGCTCTGAAATAGTAGCTGATCTGCATGTTTTGCTAGTAGACAACATGCAAATCAGCCTTTCTTGTACTTGCGTTAGAGAAAATATATGAAGGGACAGCAATTTAAAACAGGATAAATTATGTAGGTTGAGAAAATTAAACATACATCCGTCCTCCCATTATTTCCTTGCATGTTTGAATGTTGATTTAAAATAATCAAATAAAGACTTCTGGTAAAAGAGCTTCTTTTTCCTTCTTGTTTAACCACTGAACCTAAATCGCACATTCCATGATCTGTACTTTCATGTTTTAGCTGAGGTAAATAAAATTATATGTTTCAACTCTAGTATTTTAAATAAGGTCATAGGACTTTGATCCTCAGAACAGCCATGAAGTGATATGGAGGGACATAAATAAGGAGCAGAAAGCTAAGAAAAAAGATAGGATTATTCTGTTGAAGAGTTGAAGAATTGGATGATTAGAAGTAAAACTCCACCGTTGTAGTTAGCAGGATTTATGTTTGAGCAGACCCACATAGGATTGCTCTAAATACAACTATTATCCAACATTGTCAATACATCAGCAATATCTCTTTTGAGTCAGATTTCTCCTGTTCTGTGCGTAGTTTAATCTCTTGGTTAGGCCATTAAATGCTTACAGAGACTCAGATACTTTGAATAGCTTGCTCTGAATTTAGATAATTTCAAATCTATAGAATATTTTACTATATTTTGAAATTAATAAGTGAGAAGAAAGCCAGGAGTACTTCAAAGCCTCCAGCCACTAGCATATTACTTCCATATAATTTGTGGGAAAGGAAAATGGTAAGAAGATAAATGAAACTTGTGTTAAGGCTACCTTGACTATTCCTTCAAGGAGACAGATGAAATATAAATCCAACAAAGTGTCTGTGTTCTGAAACAGGATGGTATAGAATTTACCAGAATGTTGTAAGAACCAAAGTTTGGAATGGAAATGGAGCAACTGAGGAAGAATTAAAAATCACCTAAGGATAATGTAATTTGATTATTGAATCAGACATGGTTTAACAAGGCTAAAATTAATTGTTCAAGACCCTGAATTTGTGGCAGAAGTGGGGACTGAGTAGGAGGAGTAAGAAGAGTGTCTATAATAAAATAAAAAGGACTGTATGTTGTAACAGAAATATTTACACAGAACTATAGATCAATCCAACAGAATGGAGCAAGAGAAAGAAAAGATACATATTTGGTCCTGGATGTCAGATCTGGGTTCTAAACAAATACACATGTATTCTGCAGAAACACCTGATGAGTTGTTTCTGAAAGAGATAGACATGACTGGAAGTAAGGCTCTTATTTTCTTGGTCTGTCAGGAGAGGGAGACAAAGTTTGAGGGTTGTTCTTGAAGGAGAGAATTAGGTTGAAACTAAGTTTTCTATTGTCTTTCCAAAGGCTTCAAAATAAATTTTGATATCTTTTCTTGAAGGAACTACCACAATTCCAAGAGTACTTTCCTAAATGGATTACTTCCTTACTACATAAACAAGAAGGCATTCTTAGATACTGTCCCACAAAATATGTGGAGTTTAGATTATCTTCTGGAGATATTTTGAAAATGGCATGCTAGAAAAAGCCAGAGGGACTTTGCTGGTATTACATTGTGAAGAATAAGGATTTTATGATAGATAAATACATGGACATAGAATGATTGGGATATATACATATACACATAATTTTAAAAAAAAATGTTAACCCTTCCTTCAATGAGGCTTTTTCAAGAAACGTTCCCATAGAAATCCAAGGTATTTTATATTTAGACACAAAACTCTCCCTGGATTCTTGCATTGCATCTATGACCTGAACCACACAGCCTACAATTTTAAGATAAGGAATGTTGCTTTGAGACAACTAACATGTGAAACTTACCAGCTGCAATGAAAAAACTTCCTCCTATTTTGTAGAGGATGTGACTACCAAAAGGTGCCGCACAGATGATGAAGAAACTAGCAACAACCACAGTGACCACTCCAAGGAGCATGAAAATTGACCAGAAACCACGATAAACTAGAAATGGGGACAGAAGAATATTGAAAAGAGATTTTAGAGAATAAAAGACAATTTTTACAAAATCTGTTCAACCTTCCCTGACATTTTTTTTATTAGCAAGCTGAACATTTATTCCAACACAGTCTCCTGGCAATCAGTAATCTAAAGCACCATATGTCCTGCATTAGACAGGAATGCCAAATGCTATCAGATCATCTTGGAATATAATGATGCATGTGAAGAGTGTTATGAATCCCTGTTGCTTGGTATCTGCTGGAGAGACATGTGGTTAATCAGTTCACTTTTTTCTTGGCCAATGGAAATTGTTTATAAAATAATGTGCTGAACTATAGCCAAGATTCTTTAAGATATTTGCAGGGTTTTACCAGATACAATTGATCTTACTAAAGTAGAAACAGAGGCTAGAGACAATGCAAAGAAAAGTTTAAAACATACCCAAGATAAGTCACAAAAATGTTGAAAAACCAGAATTGACTACTTTTAAGAAATGTATACTGTATTTACACATGGTTTTAAAATCCAAACTGAAAGTATCAATGGAAAGACAAGCCAAAATATGAATTCCTAAAAAAGTCAGAATTGCTAATAACTAGAGCTGTTCAGACAGTACATTTCTTTGTCTATTTTTCAAAGCAAATATCAAAAATCATTGTGTTAAGGATAAGCAATATTAAAGGTTTTGGATAATGATCAATGCATTAAGAGTCTGGTAACATATGTTGTTCTTCCCCTCAAATATTCATAATAATAAACTAATTGACTAATTAAGTATCTATTTTTAAGAAACTTTTTATAAAAACTAGAATTATGGAAATCCATTTATTTTATTCATTATGAATATAAATATAAAAATAGGAAAATGTTAAATTATTGTGAAAAGGCCTAAGTATGAAACCATTTGTATAAAACTAAAATGTACATCCCACTACAATAAAAACAGTTCAGAATTATTCATAATATTGATATTTAGACTATATTTTCAACTACTGTTTTATGAATGAAGTTGCACAAAAGTGTATGAGCATTCTATAAATTAATTTTCCACATACTTTATTAATAAAGTAGGTACTATTTCAATGATTTGTAAGATTTTAAATGAAATTTTATTTACACTGTAATGCAAATAATTTTAATTCTAAAAAAGACTATAAATGTATTAGGGTTGCTATGTTTCCTAAAATGCTCAGGAAGATAAATTTATCTCAGCATCTACTTCTGTCTTACTATCACAGCACCATTGACAGTGTCCTGACATATAGCATTCTTGCATGGTATGGGAGTAGCTCTGTAGCGGACAAAAAAGCTCTACAGAGAATTATTAAAACTGCCCAGAATATTATCAGACTCCAGCTACCAGCCCTGGACAACATCTTCGAATCTTGCTGTTTGAGGAAGTTGCATAACGTTCTGAGAGACTCTTTCCATTCTGCTTATAATTTTTTTGAACGGTTGCCTTCTGGCAGAAGATACAGAACAATTAAAACTCGTACCACATGTTTTATGAATAGTTTTTATCCTAGAGCTGTAATTGCACTCAACAATGAACTAAAGGGCCACCATCAGTGAACTGTTGGACAGTATTACTTGGTCTGTTGGGTGGATGTTTGGGTGGTTTTAGGGGTGGCTGGGAGTATGTTTGGGATTATGTGTGTGGGACCTGGTCTTTGGGTGTCATGTAAATTTCGTTGTATGTGTACACTGTGTATACACATACAATGACAATAAAGTTTATTATTATTATTATTATTATTATTATGTAGAAATGACAGTCCTTTTAAAAAAGGGTTGTTAGAATCTAATCTTGGTCACAGCACTTGCTATTATACTCTGTTTATATGGTACAACCTAAACAAGTCGCCCAGAGTCATTTTGCAGAGTGAGATGGGTGGCATATAAATTAAATACAAAATCAAGAAAAATATTTTTTTTTTATTTACATCATTATGTACACAATTGTAATTGCAAATATTACATAAAACCATGTCTTATTTTCCAATTGCCTTGGTGCAGTATCCTCTCAATAATTAATTATACTTTACTATAAAATAGGTTATGTATGCTTTGATTATGAATCTATACATTAATTTATTTATTTTAAATATATACTTCTAGCTATGTTATGATGGCAAATCAAAAGTTTATACTAAAAATATAAAAACTTAAGTGAATGGTTGGAACCCTTGTCTAAACACAATTTAATATGAATATAATGTGTTTTATTATAGTTTTCTACATCTTCTGGTTGAAGAAATGGTTATTTGCACCCAACTGCTGAAGGACAGTTGAGTATCTAATGGGATCTTTCAAAATAAGATATACAAACTATAGCCTCTTTCCTTAACAGTAAACTATAGTCTCTAACATTTTCTAGAATCTTGGGCAGAATTTCTCAGTTCAAGGATTGTCATTCGTAAGAAGCAATCAGTCAAAATTATTTTGTTAGTTTGTTTTTGAGAAATTGATGTAGAAACAGTTCATCTTTGTTTCTTTTTTTGTGATCAGAAATATTATTCAGGGACCAATATGGCTAAGGAATTGGAAACTTATTATCTACTATTTTTGGAAAGTTAAATATTCCTTTAAATTTGGGGCCCAGAAAAGAATTTTTTTCCACAGATTTCTGCATTTCTTCTCATACAAACAGAAATAATAATTTATCATTATCATTAAATTTGTATGCGATCCAAAATGAAGCAATTTATTACTTCACTGTGTAATATTTACACAATATAATTTATCAATAACATGGCATTTGGTGTAATATTTATACTTAGCTATTTCCAAAGTAGTAGGCCAAGAATGCACTAAAGTGGTGCTACAGATTTCAAATCCACATGCTTTGTGTTGTTGCAATATGAATAGTTTCCATAACTAAGCATCACAACTTTTTTCTCCAGCATGTCACAGCTCTACTTTTGGCAATGCTTCACAAGGCTAAAAATATAAAAGAGTTTAAGAACAGGAAAACAAATAGGAGTGAATGGGTATATGAGCTTGATTTTTATCATAGAGATATTGCCAGTCAGAAAAAGAGCAAATTTTTCTTAATGTCTTTCATTAAATCATAAAACTTGCAGAATTAGAAGTATTTTCAAGAAGGGCATTGACTGTTGATTGAGTTATTGAGTGATTGATTGCAAAATGTGAAAATAATCTCCCTCTTCTCAGGTTGCTCTTAAGGGTAGACATAACCAGTATGTCTTCTCTTCCAGTAGAATTATTAAGGAGTCTACAAATTGACTCTGTCTTCAATATTTGATCTACAGTACCTATTTCTTTTTACTTCTTTGTAAAGGAAAAGGTTCCAAGAAAACTGAATAGGAATAGATTTATTTATTTTTTTAATGCAATAATTTGCAATTTTATGTCATTTTTTATATAACTAAATAAAGTTAGTTTGGGGAAGGAAAGGAGATGATTTTTCAGAATAAGAGTTTCTTTAGTCAAATAGCTTCCTTTTTGCAGAAATCGGCCTAATTTATTGCCTTTCTGAGCAATGTGATTGATGGCTCAATGTTTCTCAGTTTGTTTTTTTTATTCATCCAGTTGACCTTTTTTTATAATAGGAGTTCATGAAGTTTTTTTATTTAAAGAATTTGTACACTTTAAATGTTTTATTGATTTTTTAAGAATTACAATCTTTAGTGCTTAGTAAACAACATGTTATCTGGGTTCACATATTTGACATTAACTTCTTCAATATAAATCTGTTCAATACTACACAATCCAGTATTTTCCCTGATTCTCCTTTCTTCCCCATATTTTTTCCATTTCCCCCTCATTACACAGTTACAATGTTTGGTACTATTGATATATACAAAGTTAGATATAAGCATCTTCATCATATTTTACTAATATTATAAAAATAACAATATCAGTTCATGAATCAATATCCTATTTTTTGTGCTCTTGTTAAGGTTTAATTTCCCATCAGTATTTAAAATATCTTTGTCAGTTATGATTTTCTCAATAATAATTACATTTATGTAGCTAAAAGTTTTATTCATATCAATCCTCCTCTTATTTTCATATTTAAAATATCAAAAAAGAAAGAAGAAAAATGTTATTTTAATTCTAAATCATATCTTTCATTATAAAAATCTAATTATATCTAAGGGTCATCTGTTCTTTTAATCTTATTCAAATAAATATTTAAACATAAAATGCCCCCTCTAAAAGGTCAAATCTTCTGTTTTTTAAATCTATCTCTTGCTTTCTTTCTTTGCCAAATAGCTTTCCAAGCCAGGGCAATTAAATCACCCAGGAATTTTCTTTCTATTTTTGTGAAAATTGCTTGGCATGAGGAAGACAATTTAGATAGGGTATTTTTGGCAGGGAATTCCACCCATTTATATTCCTTAAGCAACTCCCGGTTTCTTTCTTCCTCAATTTTCTTAATGTCTTTCATTAAATCATAAAACTTGCAGAATTAGAAGTATTTTCTCATTCCGTCTCCCAAGTTGTGACATTTCCCCTAACAGCTCTATATTCCATTTTTAAAAATCTTCTTCCTTGCCATCAGATGTATTTTGCAGACCTAAGGGGTAAAGAGTCTTTTGTATTTTCATTATTATGGCTAAGTCTTGCAGTATTTTGTTTGTATATGGTCATTTATATTTCCCTTCTTGTAACTCTTCCATCTCTAAATCCATTTCCTCTGCTTCGTCTTCTGATTTCTGGTTTATTTGTTCATACTTTGTAGTCGTTGTCTGGGGACTTTCTAGTTGTAGATTTAATTTGGAGATTTGTTCATTTATATTGTTGTTTTTAGTCTCATTGTGGTTTCTTTTTATGCCTTCTTTGTATGTTGTATGCAACAATTATTTGGTGAATTATTTGTAGCATAGAGTATATTTCCTTCTGAAAGGTGTTTGTTTTTTCTGGAGGCATCATTCCTGGAGATCCTCTAGTATCACCAGTCTCAGTAAGAGTAGATTAATGTTTCATCTAGTTTTCTGGTCTTTATATGTAGCCTTTATAATCCAATAGGTTCCAGAGTATAGATCTAATCCTGAAAACAATATTTTATAGTGATCCTTTGTCTCAGGTATCCAAAAATTGTCAGTCAGGTAAAGTTGTAATCACAATGTTCAAAGTGTTCAAAATGTTCAACCTCCTTGAAAACAACTCAAAAGCCTCTCCCAGCCAGGTGTAGTCCAAAATCAAATTTTTCTTTCTCTCCCACTAGCTCTTGGATTAAAAGCCCAAACTTAGTAGGTATTTATAATCCAAGAAAGTCAGAGTGATAAGTATACCAAAATATTTTCCTTTATTGCCAGCTGTTCTCCCAAGCTTGGAGTCACCAAGCAGCCAGGAAGCAAATTATAGTGCTGTACAGAAATCCACCACTAGATGTCATTGAAAGTCCATTTCCACTCTTAAGACAAAGGATTGATTTCTTACATTTTGCCTCAAATTTTTTTTTCAAAGAGAAAATCTTAACAGTTATCTCAGTTCTCAAATTTATCAAAACTGGCTTTAAAATTAAAATTAAAACGCCGCTTCCGTTCATATTCAGAGGTTTTTAGCTTCTTGGTACCTTTTCCAAGAAAATTCAATTGTAAAATAGTAAAGAAAGGATCAATATTCTCACCCAGTTCCAGACATGCTGTTTATGATGTATTAATTGGTGCTTTTTCTTCTTCAGTTGTCAGCATCTAATCGCCGGCCACAGGAATGTAGCCAGCCTTTCCCCTGTTGGTTTGGAGGGCTTTCCTTGGATCGAACGGAAAGACCGCCATTTCTCCATGATCAACAGTCGCCCCTCCTCTTCATTGCCTCTTTGGGGCAACTTTAGGCCCTTTTTAGGGCCCCCAGCAGGGTGAAATTGGGCAAGGAAGGCAGGGCCCTGCCTTCTTGCGTCCATCCCACCGCAATGCAAAACTGGAAGTCCCATTTAAACAATTTGTATGGTTGCGTATTCTATGCATGATCAACCTAGGCAGCTCACAACAACATTCCATAAAATAGAAACCAGAAAACCCCACAACATCATATGTTATATCCCATAACAACAAATAGTTTATCAACTCTACATTTACATTTGCTGGGCTCACTCCCATTCTAGCTCAATGCCTGTCTTCATAGCCTTCTGGAATGGTAATAGAGTGGGGCCCTCCAAATCTGAGAAGGAAGCTCTTCCAAAGAATTGGGTTTGGAGCACAGAAGGTACAAATAAAAAATTTCCCAAAAAGAGGTCTCTTGCTTGCTTGCTAGCTAGCTAGCTTGCTTATTTATTTAGAAAATGTGTATTGCTGTCTACTTGCCCATGGCAACTCAAGACGGCTTACATCAATAGAAAAATACCTTATAAAAATAAAATAACAGGTAAAATAAAATAATATAATAACCCACTTCCACCCCAGCAACAACACACATTAAACTAGCCACTTGCTGGACTTTATCCCACGCTGGTAGAACCAGGTCTTCAGCGCCTTACGGAAGAGTGCTAAAGTGGGGGGCCAGTCTAACCTCTGAGGGAATGATGTTTGAGAGAGGGAGCTACCATGGAGAAGGCCCTTCTTCTGCCAGATGCATTTCCTTAGGGGATGGGACCCGCAACATTCCTTGCTTCCCTGCTGTAGTGGGTCAGGTAGATGTGACTGGCAATACAGTGACTACTGTTTGAAATTTTACCAATCACATATTTGATTAATATATAAAAGGCCATTTGTGATGGAGGTAAAAATAGTCAAGATGATGCTCAAGCAATCAAAATGCCAGACCATTCTTTTTTTTTAAGATATCATAACACATAAAAAAGAAATAAGGATGTTGTCTTGACTTTTTCACCCCTTCCTCTCAAAATGTTGCCCTTGATCTTTTTCATATGATCTATGAAACTAAACTATTGGGAGGAACTATATCACCAATATCTTATTAAGATAATTTGATTTAATTTACTGTATTTTAATTTTTTGACCCCACTCAACCCATTTCTCAATTCTCGTCTTACCTTATTTTTAGGTGTAACTGTTGAGATGCTACTTAAAGGGACAATGCAATCTTCAACCTAAAAATATTGGACTCAATTTCTGTGATAAAAGGACACTACTAATGGAGACTGGCCATCTTTTTTCAGCTAGCAGTGAAGTGTTGTTTTTGACAAGTTAATTTTAATTTGAACCTCCATGAGAATAGTTCTTCCCTAGAAATACTTCACTCTTTTTTTCTTTGTTAAGTATGAACTTGTATTATGAACTTGAATATGTGCAGAATTCTTAGATTATATCTACCCCACCCTTCCAATCACACAAGTCAGGATACTAGAATTTTGGTGTCTCCTTGAGCCATGCTTGCTCTTTTTAGATATCAGGTTCTTTATTGGTGAGAACAGAATATGATATGAGATAAGGATAAGATCACTGAAAATCAGATTACTTATTTAAAGCTGTTGCCAGGAATCAAACCTGACCTGTACACACACACACACACAGAGAGAGAGAGAGAGAGAGAGAGAGAGACAAAAAAAACTGGTTTAAGACAATGATATTTACTCTCACCTTAGAAATGTGCCTTAAGTATAACATAGAATTTTAGGGAGAAAAACCAAAATAAAAATTATACGTAGTGGTAGAACAATGACCCATCTGAACACAGAATCCAACCTGGTGCCTCAGATGATCATAAATGAGTTATGACTATGGAGCAGTGATGGCGAACCTTTTAGAGACCGAGTGTCCAAACTGCAACCCCAAACTCACTTATTTATTGCCGGGTGCCAGGTGGGTGTAGCCCACTGGGTGGGCGTGGCTGTGGTGGTCATGGCAGACTGGGTGGGTGTGGCCAACATGAGCATAGTCACCTCGATGTTGCTCTTGGGGAGGGATGCCTGTGGGGGCCGGGCAGGGTTGGGGGAGATCTAGGGGGTCTCTGGCAGGTGGGGTGGTGGGTAGGAGGCTTGTCCTGTGGGGTGAGGTGAGGCAGGGTGGGGGTGCCATTATCTCAGGGCAAGGCAAGGCAGGGGCCAGGGCGGTTGCTGCCTGACACCATCGCACACAGAGGCCAGCGAGTGCATGGGGACCAACAGTGTCCGTCAGCAGCCACAGCCTGCCGGCCCCTCGACCGGCACACTCTGGGGCTCCACACCCCGCCACCAGCAATTCAGAAAAGTTCCCACAGAGAGGGCTTTGAGTGCCGCCTCTGGCACGCGTGCCATAGGTTCGCCACCACTGCTAGAGAGGATCTAGTCACACAAGAAACAACATCCCAGGACAATGCAACACTGTGGCTTCAATTCCAAAATGGGCTTCAATGGCAGAAGTGATGATCTGCTTATAATTCGTAAAGCAATTGCTACTGCTGTGCTTTCTGAACAGTAGTTCTGTAATTGAACTTGAAGAATTGCAAAGCCATAATATCATAATTGCAACAAAGAATACTTACTAATTGCAGAATTATAGGTGGTTGAATTATGGGAATTTCTTAAGAAAGGAAATGGAGAGAGATAAGCATGGGTGCAGTTTTTAGAAGGTGACTGGTTCGCTGAAAAACAGTAACAAAGACTAAATTATTCACTTGTATTTCTATACATGTCAATTTTCCCAATTTTAGAATGCTTATGCTAGGTGCATGAATAATTGGCCCTGTATGTTTAAGATCCAAGATTCTGAATTATGTAATGGAAAGAGAAAGAATTACATTCTTTTAATGGAATAGTTCTATGGTATCAGTGTCAAATCGCACAGTCTCTAGGAGTCAGGTAGTATATACATTTAAAAATAAAAATATGTTACATGATCTGGACTAGCTAAAAGCAATTGTAGGAAAAACACTACTCTGGAAAGAGTTTTGGTAGCAGTACTGCTTGATTCACTCTGAAATGATTCAGAGTGAAACAGAAGCGGTGAAGAACTTCCCTAGAGAATTCAAGACATTTCCCAGTGATAGATAGATAGATAGATAGATAGATAGATAGATAGATAGATAGATAGGTAGGTAGGTAGGTAGGTAGGTAGGTAGGTAGGTAGGTAGGTAGGTAGGTAGGTAGGTAGGTAGGTAGGTAGGTAGATAGATAGATAGATAGATAGATAGATAGATAGATAGATAGATAGATAGATAGATAGACACACACACACTTGCCAATTATTTCCAATTAGCATTTCATTTAGCACCTATATTTAAATTTTTAAGACAAACAAACACAAAAAATCATTCATTGACTTTTCCTGATTCCCAGATGCCTATATTACAGAAGATCCTTATAAGGAAATCACATGTGTAAGAAACACATAAATACCCATTCTTATTCCTCCCAAGTTCTTCAGTCTCTCTAATGTTTAAACTACCAGTACATTGCATAACTTTTTTGTAATTCCAATATTCTATCATCCAAAAATCATTCAGTAGACAAGTCTCCATCTAACTTTGTTCTATTAGAGTCCTAACATTTCATTTTAGGACTTTCACTGTCTCCCATTTGGAATGGGAGAGTAGCATGGAAAAAGGAGGATGCTTTTGAATTGCCTGGCATTGCCTGAAGAGTGGATAGGTGGATAAGTAGAGGGAAAGAGAGAAAGACATTTGAGACATTATTGCTTTGTGTTTATTTTTTGATGTTAGCTAAAACTTTGCTATAGTTTAGAGTTTTTATTGATGAAATTGTTTTGAATTATGGTCCTACAAACAGGAATTAGGTTTTTTTATGGAAAGATAGGTTACACTTATTTCCATAAATACTTTAAATATTTAAGATGAGCTTCTGTGAAAGAAACAGTTATTATACTTCCCAAATGATTAAAACAGTTTGTAAACATAACTTTATAATTTTAGGTTTCTCTAGTTCTCTATATACACTGCTTAGGAATACTGGATGCTTAGTGAGTTGGTATCTGTGTAAATCTACATAGATATTTATATAGAAAGGCTCTGTCTGTTGTTTACTTACAAAACACCTTGCTCTAGAGCAGTGCATGAGAATACAGAAAACATATTCAAATAAGTTCTTTCATTTCATTCAAGAGCTTGTGCAACTCTTGCACAAGCACAAACATGAAGTTGCTATTCAGTCTTGCTTATGTCACTATGTGAAGCCTTGCTAGAAGTATTTGCAGAATGCATTTGTGCAGGCATGTGCAGAAGTGTTCTAAGATTATGGCTTTTATGTTTGCATACAAGATCATACTGGTAGAACAAACATGCTGGTTTTTTAGTAGATTACTATGTTGGAGTGTTGCAAACCATTGCATTCTGTGGTTGAAGTGAATACCGTGAATATAAAGCAGCTTAAAGAAAAGGGGTACTGTGAGCCTTCAACCTCTGTCCAGAATAATATCCATTACAAACAAATCCACATATCTGATGTCGAAGATTGGGAAGTCCTCTAGAACAGATTTTGAAAGAATCATAAAGAAACACAGCAGAGGAGGATAATAAAACTGCTCATGCTCATCCATTTTGCCATACAAAAAGGGTTCCTTCTACAGATAGAACTTATTAAAGCAGATGAATTTTAAAATGTAAGTAAGCATTCTGCATAGTAGGTCTAAACTAGATTACTTACTGTACCAAAACTTTAACATACTACTAGGATTCTCATCAATCTTTCCATCAAACCAGCATCTCCAGAAGAAACCCTCATGGTGGAACATAATTGTCTCTTCCTGCACAAAAGAAATTAAGAACTCATCATATATTTTTATGAACTCATGTTCTATGTTTTATGGTGAATTGATCATAACTCCTGCTAATTCTAGGTATAACTGACTAAAATAGAAATCAGAGAAAGTAACCTCTTGGCTGAGGTTAATATTAAAATCAAAATGTTCCTTATGCATTCAATGGTCTTTCTAAACAAGAACAAAACAGACACATCCCTGATACCACTGCAAGAGATTATTCCTAGAAATAAAAAGTATACTAACCCTAGTGTGATTCACATCTTCAGAACACTTCCCAACTTCTGTAGCCAGAAGCCAATAGTCTGTTCCAAAAGCAACCAGAAAAAACAAAATCCCAACGGCTCCAAAGAAGCCTCCAAAAAATATTCCAACACTCAACTTCATTGCTGATTTGTTCTTCAAAAATAACTGATAGATCTAAAATATATATTTCAGGGTGGTGGGGAATAAATGTCCTCCTTAGATAAATTTAGTTAAGAATTGTGTTGCTTATGCTATGGCTTGGATCTGTGTTCAATTAAACTGCAACCCCTAGCAGACGAAGATAGACTTCTATTCTGGGACACTCCCTGAAACATCTTTACAGTATTTTCCTTAGCTGGCGTGAGCAGCCAAAAATAGCTGACCTTCCTTTAGCTAGCTATAGCTATTGGCTTGAAATATTGTTGCACATGGTGTATTCACATATGAAGAAGAGGGATGAAATTACTGTCCCCTTATTATTCTGCCTAGGGTGGATTTCAATATCCAATGCTAACAAGCAGTAGCAATATATATATATATATATATATATATATATATATATATATATATATATATAGCAAGAAGTTATATATATAAAAGGAAGCGATCACCAGGAAATAAAACACCAAGGTTTTAATAAATAAAATCAAGCTTTCGATGGCTAACATCTGCCATCATCGTCAGGATACAAGCCAGTTAGTTAGGAAACCTTCTTATAAGCATAGCCACACCTAAACTCTACGCATGGACCTTGTAACAGGTCCAGGCTGACTAATCCTTGCTTCACTTACAGCCTTCAGTGATTCTTTCTTATAGCTCTTACTTACATCCACCTAGCTTTCAATGGCTAGCACCTGCCATCATTGTCAGAATACAAGCTAGCTAGTGAGGAAACCTGCTTATAAGCATAGCCACACCTAAACTCTACGCATGGACCTTGTAACAGGTCCAGGCCGACTAATCCTTGCTTCACTTACAGCCTTCAGTGATTCTTTCTTATAGCTCTTATTCTTCAATTTTTAATGTAATTTTATATATATATATATATATATATATATATATATATATATATATTCAATAATGATGGTGAAAATGCGACTCCCGGGCATAATTATAAATGGAATGAATAAAGCGCGTTCACCAGGAGAGTTTAAAGTTAAAATACTTTAATTAAAGTATTTTACTATATTAAAAGGTTGCCAAGCTTTCGTTGGGAAAACTCCCCAACATCTTCAGGGCTGAGAGACCGTTTCTAACAAGGTGATTCAAACGGGTTCCATAGACGTCTGCGCGTGGTTCCTAGACTGTGCTAGCATTCCCTGCTGAACAGCTGATAGGTGGGAGGGGGAATCGGAGTAAAGATTTCTTCCGTCGTTCTCTCGAGCACTTTTGTTCACATTTCCGTCGACCTCAGGGGGTATTGTTAAAGTTATGTTCCGCCCTCTCCCGGCAGTACTGGCTCTCGTTGCAGTGGGGGGATTTAGTTTGATGTCATTGTGTATCCTACCATGGAGGCGGGGCTTCATCGGCTGCAATTTAACATCTTTCCTCTGCTGCGTGCTCCCGTATTTATCTTCGCTCGCATGTACAAGCATCAACTGGATGTGGTATTTTTCAATGTTTGAATCATCCTCCTCCATCATGGTGTCCCCCATGCTCATCTTCCCTCGTAGGTTAATATTCAAGTTAAATCCCCCCCATTTCTGTGAGCAAAAGTCTGTTGGTATTTGGGCAGATTCCCCGCTCATGTTACTTTCCCTTTTATCAAGCGAACGGGTCGTCATCACATGTTTTTTCTCCCCTCTCTGTATGGGATATCCACCTTTATTATTATTATGGGTAGTGCTAAATTTAGTGGTTCTATCCTCAAATTTCTTAAGCGCTCCAATGTCATTATTGTTGTTTTCTCCAATTAAAGGGGGTGTGGTTTCCCCTTGATATTGTTGGGGGGTTTCTGGGTAGTCTATATCAGATTGTTTCTGGTAGGGAGGAGGTGTAGCTCCTGGTTTAGAATGTTGTGGATGTTGATTGTAAGGTTTGTGATATAAAGGATGATGGTTTGAGTTCCATTTTCGTAGCGCTTGTTGTGCTGGGTGCAAGTCAATGTGACGATTGATTGAGTTGTTATTCGAGAACCAGGCTTCTTTTAGCAGCCGACCTCCCTTCGTGGCATCACTGGCTATGATAAGGGTGTTATTGAAGTCAAACTGATGGCCTTGTTGTGCCATATGCATCCAAAGTTGTGAGTGTGGTTCGCCTCGTTTTATGGCCAGTTTGTGTTCGTGGAGGCGAGTTTTCAAGCGTTTGGCTGTTTCTCCCACATAGTTGCCTTCGCAGTTTTTGCAGTTGATCTTATAAACAATAGAAGATTTCTCCATGGTAGGTAGGGGGTCCTTTGGACGCATAATTTTTGATCGTAGGGTTTGGTTAGGTTTGTGAGCTACTTCTATACCATGGGGTGCTAGTAGTCTGGCTGTGGCCTCTGAGATGTTACTTATGTATGGGAGGGAGATGCGTGTTTTTTGTAGGGGGGAATCCCTTCTTCGTTGGGTGGTCTGGTGCTGGAAAGTTGTACAATGTCGTTTGATAAATTTTAATGGATAACCGTTATATATGCACGTACGGAAGAGGTGTCTCCTCTCTTCTTTCTTATATTCATCCGTGCTGCAGTGGGAGTCAACGCGTTTAAATAACGTTTTTATGCAGCTGATTTTATGGGAAACAGGATGATTACTCTGGTAATGGCAACCTTTTAATATAGTAAAATACTTTAAAGTATTTTAACTTTAAACTCTCCTGGTGAATGCGCTTTATTCATTCTATTTATAATTATGCCCGGGAGTCGCATTTTCACCATCATTATTGAATTTTATGATCGAGCAGTACTGCTCACAGCCAGAAAATGGGAGAAATTGACAAGACGCATTTCAGCAGCTTACCGCAGAATAGCGTTCCTACACACCTGCGCTCGAGAGGACCTCCCACCCAAGATGTTAAGAAGGAAACCTGTTATTGATACAAATGAATGCATACAAGCCCTCCATCAGTTTCAACGCCAGACGGTTAAAGCCCTTATTAACGACCAGCACAGACGTGTAGAAAATTTTAAAAAATGGGCTCTTGAACTTCAAAGACATTGTAACTCGACTTTATTAGAACACCACTTCCAAGCACTGAGTCATCACATCCAAATGGTAGCTAGAAAAATGAACCAAGAAACAACAGCACACCTCCAACGTAAGATGAATGCCATACATAAGTCCCAATATAGTAATTTTACCAATAGAGTGGTTTGTAATCTGTCTTCCAAACCTCTGACCAACTCACAACTCACCCTACTGCAACGTGATACTAATCATAACCTTATGGATGCCTACCCTTTAGATTTTGTATCTGCACTGGAGCCTGCTATACATCATATGGGGACAGATGAAGACACCAGAAATTCCATTAGACAACAGATCACAGGGCTACTTACTAACCACAGGTACCATCACACCCTATCTAGAGAAGAAACTGGAGCTCTTACACAACTTAAAAGAGATGATTCTATTGTCATACTTCCTGCAGACAAAGGTAGGGTGACTGTTATTATGGATAGAACACTGTATACAGCTAAAGCACTTGAACTCTTGAATGATAAGTTGGCCTATAGAGTAATTAAAAAAGACCCCTCAATAACGCTCAAAAATAAAATCAACAAACTGCTAGACAACTTTAAGCGTTGTAAGAAGATCGGAGATGACACCCTAAAGAGGATACGTCCCTGTGACACGGCCCTTGCCCGTTTTTACGGTCTACCAAAGATCCACAAAGAAGGTACCCCCCTTCGCCCCATTGTATCATTCAGGGGCACCCCCATCTCAGGACTAGCTAAATGGCTTAGTACCCGCATCAACCACCTCGTAGATGGCAGTAACACCATGGTCAGATCTGCAGAAGAATTTTTAACTAGAATTAAGACCCTTAGGGTGGAGGATGATGAGATGATGGTGTCGTTCGACGTCACCTCTCTCTTCACCTCCATTCCCCAGGACTTAGCCATCTCTGTCCTGAAAGAACGTTTGACATCTATGAATGAAAGTCATCACCAAGATTCCCTTCAGACGGAAGACCTCGTGAAATTGATAGAAATATGTCTCCAGACTTATTTCACATTCCAAGGTACCATCTATGAACAAATAAAAGGAACCCCGATGGGCTCCCCCATCTCCAGTATTATAGCTGAGGTAGTCCTTCAACAGCTTGAACATAAGGCTATGACTTTATACCAACCCAAATTTTGGGTTCGATACGTGGACGATACATTTGCCATTGTCAAAAGACAACATGTAACTACATTTATGGGAATATTAAATTCCATCTACTCTGACATAAAGTTTACTGTAGAGGAAAAAAGACACAATTCTCTTGCCTTCTTAGATGTTTCCATCCACCGTCAACCAGATGGATACCTACATACGAAGGTATTCCGTAAACCAACCCACACGGATAGAATCCTCCATTACCAGAGTAATCATCCTGTTTCCCATAAAATCAGCTGCATAAAAACGTTATTTAAACGCGTTGACTCCCACTGCAGCACGGATGAATATAAGAAAGAAGAGAGGAGACACCTCTTCCGTACGTGCATATATAACGGTTATCCATTAAAATTTATCAAACGACATTGTACAACTTTCCAGCACCAGACCACCCAACGAAGAAGGGATTCCCCCCTACAAAAAACACGCATCTCCCTCCCATACATAAGTAACATCTCAGAGGCCACAGCCAGACTACTAGCACCCCATGGTATAGAAGTAGCTCACAAACCTAACCAAACCCTACGATCAAAAATTATGCGTCCAAAGGACCCCCTACCTACCATGGAGAAATCTGCTATTGTTTATAAGATCAACTGCAAAAACTGCGAAGGCAACTATGTGGGAGAAACAGCCAAACGCTTGAAAACTCGCCTCCACGAACACAAACTGGCCATAAAACGAGGCGAACCACACTCACAACTTTGGATGCATATGGCACAACAAGGCCATCAGTTTGACTTCAATAACACCCTTATCATAGCCAGTGATGCCACGAAGGGAGGTCGGCTGCTAAAAGAAGCCTGGTTCTCGAATAACAACTCAATCAATCGTCACATTGACTTGCACCCAGCACAACAAGCGCTACGAAAATGGAACTCAAACCATCATCCTTTATATCACAAACCTTACAATCAACATCCACAACATTCTAAACCAGGAGCTACACCTCCTCCCTACCAGAAACAATCTGATATAGACTACCCAGAAACCTCCCAACAATATCAAGGGGAAACCACACCCCCTTTAATTGGAGAAAACAACAATAATGACATTGGAGCGCTTAAGAAATTTGAGGATAGAACCACTAAATTTAGCACTACCCATAATAATAATAAAGGTGGATATCCCATACAGAGAGGGGAGAAAAAACATGTGATGACGACCCGTTCGCTTGATAAAAGGGAAAGTAACATGAGCGGGGAATCTGCCCAAATACCAACAGACTTTTGCTCACAGAAATGGGGGGGATTTAACTTGAATATTGACCTACGAGGGAAGATGAGCATGGGGGACACCATGATGGAGGAGGATGATTCAAACATTGAAAAATACCACATCCAGTTGATGCTTGTACATGCGAGCGAAGATAAATATGGGAGCACGCAGCAGAGGAAAGATGTTAAATTGCAGCCGATGAAGCCCCGCCTCCATGGTAGGATACACAATGACATCAAACTAAATCCCCCCACTGCAACGAGAGCCAGTACTGCCGGGAGAGGGCGGAACATAACTTTAACAATACCCCCTGAGGTCGACGGAAATGTGAACAAAAGTGCTCGAGAGAACGACGGAAGAAATCTTTACTCCGATTCCCCCTCCCACCTATCAGCTGTTCAGCAGGGAATGCTAGCACAGTCTAGGAACCACGCGCAGACGTCTATGGAACCCGTTTGAATCACCTTGTTAGAAACGGTTTCTCAGCCCTGAAGATGTTGGGGAGTTTTCCCAACGAAAGCTTGGCAACCTTTTAATATAGTAAAATATTTTAAAGTATTTTAACTTTAAACTCTCCTGGTGAACGCGCTTTATTCATTCCATATATATATATATATATATATATATATATATATATATATATATATATATATATATATATATACACCGTGCAATCAATTTATCTTCTTCCTATAAGGAGGCAATAGTTCTTCTCTGTCACAGGCAAACATACAAAGTACAGTGCAAATTAAGTTGCAGATATGTAGGCACACTGAAGCTTATCATCAGGTAGATAAAACACTTGAGCCTCATTGACTGATTGACTATCTCATTCCAAGACATTTAAAGCTGAAATGTGCCCACTTGTTTTTTTTTAACTGTCTTTAAATGAGAGTATACATGTCTAGTTCAAATTCAGAATGAAAAGTACATCTCTGCAGGCAAGATTTCAGCATCTGATATGCTCTTATATTCACAAAAAAGCAGAAATATGAAAGATCCTACTTTGTATGCTTTAATGAGATTTGGATATAGAGAATGTGATTTCTAGTGACAGTCAAGTACAACTATGCTTTTAGAAACAGGCTGCACTACTATTTTTCAATTTCAAATATAAACAGATGTTTTCTGCATCCTGATGCCATCCAGATGCTCTGGAATACATATCCCAGAAGAACAAATCTGCATCATTGATGAGTTGGTTGTCTTCGGATTCTGGAAATTTTATTCTCCATACCTCCAAATATGTGAGATTGGGATGGTGATATCTGGGTTTGCACTGGCAAAGAAGTAAGATTTATTCAGTTGTACAGTTTTTCTGTACAGAAGTTGGACATGTGCACACCAATCTCCCTCCATCCCTCCCTCCATCTCTCTGCACATAGTGGTCTGTTTAAACCAAGGCCCCAAACTCTTAGGTCAATGACTCCTTCATAAGTTTCAGATTGTTCATCGACCCTCAAACACATTATATGAAAATAATTTAATAAATATTACTTTATTTAGTGAAAGTAATAATAACAATAATGGATAGTCCCATTGACCATTAGAAGTCAATACTGACCACTTTGGAAAAGCCTGAATCTAAAGGAATTTGTTGAACTAGTTCAACACAGAAGTAGATAAGAGACATTGAGATAATTTGCAGGTTTGACAGCATATCATTAGTCTGATCATAACACAGCTACTATGGTAAGCAAGTTTCTTGTCAACACTTCTGTTTTAACATGTTTTGACTCTCCTTTCCTTTTCACTTAACTTTTTTTTCTTTTTTCTGTACAGGTTAAGTACATTCAATGCAAAACAAGGGAGCCTATGAAAGGCATTGTTGCAAATAAAAATTATGCTAGAAGTTGGTGGAGACATTGACAGGTGACAAAACTGGTAAATGTAACTGGAAACTGCTCTGCATTCCTGACTTAAGACAAAACCAATTATTGTGTTTTAAAAATATAAAGTATTTTCAAGTTCCTGGCTTTTTTTAATTTCATCAGTTTGCCTCAAGACCTCAAGACCTGAGGCCTTTATAAACACATCAATATAGTTTTCATGACAAGGGTACAAAGGTGTCTACTTTTGGGGGAGGGGGTTGTTGGATTTTGTTTTGTTTTGTTTTCCAATTTAACCTGAAACCTTGAGATTCTGTTATGGTTGCCCTCAACTCCATCTCAGAACTGAATTTGCTTAGCAGAAAAGACTCACTGATAAGAACTCACCAAATGTAGCTCCCTAAACAATGGAAACCATTATATCCATTCTGTAAAATGGAATAGACAGATGAAATCGGGGAAAGTCAATCCCTCAAATATATACAATGACCAAAAATATGTATTCCAAGAGTACTAAATAAATTCAAAGAATATTAAAGTACTCAATAAATATTTAACAATTGAATATTATGGAGTAGCTATTTTCACTCAAATGCATGATTTCATAGTATCCCACATCATTATATCATTTCTTGCATTTATTTAAAAAAAATCCTCTACAAACCATATTTATTTTTTCACAATGTTGTCAGTAAGATTTCTTAAACTATTTGGGGGAAACAGAGGTGGTTTATAAATCACATAAATTACTTAATTTTACCTAAATAAACACATATGATTTTCTGATAGAAGAACTTCTGGGACTGTCAATGTCTTAGAAGATAGCAAAGTTTCTACCTGGCTTTTATGAGCATTTGGATCATTTAGAGACTCTTTTCCTGTCTGAAAATGCAACTACAAGTAGAACTGCAGGGAACTAAGAAGCTACTGTAAGATTATTTTTAAATCAATGTTTATATTATTTTTAAATATTATTTCAAATCTGAACAATTTACTTATGAAATGGACAGCATCTATACCACCTATTCCATGAATCTTAATGGAAAAATCTCATGGTGGCATCTCTTAGATTAAAATTAAGCCCTTATGTTTCATTGTGAAAAATAAATCCAGCCTAGAGCCTTGGCGGCCAGTCTTATGGAAACAATTATCCATTCTACTGATAAAGATATAATCTTCTAAGATTCAAATTTATAATACAGAATTTACTAGATTAAGGCCGTTTCTGGTTTTAATTTATTTTTACTCTTATTGGATTTAGTTTGGTATATGATACACAGTTTTCCATTTTTGTTTTGCTGTTTTCCCTATGTCTATAAAAATGCTCTATTTTTTTTTTAAAAAAAGATCCATTGAAATACTGAATAAATTATTACAGTATTTCCCTTATATGTTGATTATTTTTTTATATAAAACAGAAGTCATGGCTATAACACACACAAATAAGATTAGGGACATTTACTTTGTCTTCAGTTTTGGTATAGGACAGAATACATTCCTCATATAGAAGATTTCTTACAATTTTTACAAGAATATTTGCAAAAATACTGATTGTGAATATTACCAGTATTATCACTATTTATAAAGTTTCACAAAATTCTATTGAGTAGGAAAAAACTTTTTGAATGTTCAATTTTTATATAAAATGTTTTAGGTATCCCCCATCTCTCTCTCCCTCCCCTTTCCCAAAGGCAGATATGTGGTTGCTGCTGGATGGGGTGGGGAGCAAAAGCTTGTGACATTGACTGGGAAAAGTCAAGGAGGGTTAAAAATGATCACATGCAGCAGCAGCCAATAACACTGAAGCAGCCATAAATTTCCAAAATTTCATTCCCTCAAAAGTCTTGAATCCTGGATTTTGGAGACATTTTATAAGTTAATCCATTAGGCTTGGTTCAAAAATTGTTGCCATATGATGCACCATTTTGCCCAGTTAAAGAACATGACAATGAGAGTTTTAGGAGTATATAGATGGATTACATTGCTGAAACACCCACCATTTACAGGAGAATTACAAACACCTAATATAAGTGAATCACTTATATTGTTAAGTTAGGAACACATTTGTTAAATGAATCTGGCTTCCCCATTGACTTTGCTTGTCAAAAGGTCACAAAAAGTGATCACATGATTCCAGGACACTGCAACTGTCATAAGTCAGTTGTCAAGCATCTGAATTTTGATCATATGACTATGGGTACTTCAATGGTTGTTAAGTGTAAAAAACGGTCATAAGTCACTTTTTTCAGTGCCGTTGTAACTTTTAACGGTTACTAAATGAACTGTTGTAAATCGAGGACTACCTGTAACACTAATTCCACCTGAAAGATTTCTTTTGTTTTAAAAAACTGAATGAACAACGTGAATTCATTGTTCTCATTCTCTTTCCTTGCAATATGCCTTGAAGAAGCATTCAAGACCTTGACAAATAATCCTTTTAATGATATCCAGCCTCCAGAAGAGCACAAAGTGGCCTAAATTTCCGCAACCCAACTAGGCGCATTCTGAGAGAAAACTGTCACTTTTCTTGCTACCGTTGTTGCGACTTCACTGCCCGCCTCGCCTCGCCCAGCCCCGCCCCACATCCCTGTCATCTGCCTACGCGGCGACGCCGATCCGCGGCTGCCTTTCGCTTCTCTCCCCCTAGCTTGCCCGGTTGCTTGCCCGCCCGCGAGAGGCGGCGCGGCGCCTATTGAGGGCGTGCGGGGCTGCGGCGGGGTTTCTCCCCCTTCGCCCCGCGACTCATGGAGAATGGGGGCGCCGGGAGCGACCCGCTTAGCCCTTTTCTCGAGGCGGTGGAAAGGCCCCAGGCGGTGGCGGTGGCGGCGTCGTTGTCGTCGTTATTCCGAGGCAGGGCTGTTTGGCCCAACCGATTCTTGCTGTGTCTGTACGCGGTGGGCTTTCTGGTGAGCTGGCGAGGCTGCGCGGCCACCGCAACGGTTGAAAAGCTCTGCTGGGCCCGTGGGCCGCCAAGTCCGGAGCCAGCAGCTTCTTCCTGTCACTCGGTCCTTGCCCTGGGGGCGACTTTTTCCGCATTCAGCCCTGAAAGTGGCGGAGGCTTCCACTCTGCATGTGTTCCGAGGCAGTCTGTAGTCCAAGTCTTGGCACTGGAAGAAAAGCAAACTTTCGAAAGGAGCAGAATTGGCAGACTAATCAAGGATGGGATGGTGGGGGGAGGACAGTCATTTGACAATTTGAAGTTAGGTGCATGCTTTGTTTTTCTGCAGAGAAAGGTCCGGTTGCTTTGCTGACACATTTTTATTGATGAGGACATAGCCTTTCTTATGTTTACCTGGAACCATTTTTAAGTGGTAATCAACATGCAGATAGGAAGCACAGTTATTCATTTGTTTATTAATTTTTATGCCTGCCATCTCCCTTATAGGAGAAACTATTGCTGAATTCAGTGGTTTCTGATCCTCTGTCCAATGAATACTGCATATGACAAATAAGAATACCATAGGACCTGATCCTCATTTTCATTTGGTCACTATTTATTCAATTTACCTTCATTTTTATACCACCCACCCAATCAACTCTGAGTATCTTAGTTAAATAAAGCGTGTTTACAGACTTTCCATCTCTAAATACTAATACCAGCTGTCCTGCTTGGAAAGTATAAAGGGGTGTTGGTTTACTTGGACTACTTTTAAGTGATTTTCAATTATGATAACTGAATGCATGGCAAAAGTAACATCTAACATCTCCCTGTTTTGCTGCCCAAAATTTCCCCAAACCCCCAAATTGTATTCTAATACATTTTCCATTTTTCTACATTAAAAAAAGAGAAACCACAATTTTTCTCTGTCATATTACCATGCTCAATTGTCAAGTAAGAAAAAGAAAATGCTGCTTATGATTACTGGTATATTGGTTACTTTGAGTCAAAAACAGGTTGGCAACAAAACTTACATTTAGATTAATTTTCTGATATATTGTGGGTTAAAACACTGAAGGCTAAATATATCACAGAATGAAAATTATGGCAGGATTTCCAGTCCCATGTTGAATATGGAGTAAAACAACAATAGGAAATTGAAAGGAATGTGCATGGAATCACCAGAGGATTATAGCTTTTGCTGTAACAGTTGGTTCACACTTCTGAGGGCTGCAATAATTTATTTTGCCTTATTCCTCATGAAACTAGTTTGTATTCAAGTAGCATCTTTCTGGAGGATTTTAATCAGAAAAATATCTTTTCTGTCACATACAGTGTCTTTTATTTGAGAATGAGAATAATGAATCTGGAATTCTAGCCTTAAGATGCCTTCTATAAGTGACCAGTAGTGAATTCCTCAAATCTATGGCTGATTTATGTGTTGTGTATTTAATTTTTTTAAGTGCAATATTTGCTTTGTAATCTCTTACGTGGTTTAGCTTTCATTATTAGTTTACAACATTTCTGGCTGTACCAATTTGGGTAGAATAATGCCAGTGGAGATGTACATCATGTCTAAGAAAGATAACTGAATGCATAATGCATAGTAATGCAAATTATTATATGCTGATTATGATTTGGTAGGATTAGTGTATGAAATTTTCAGAAAGGCTCATGGAATCATATACTGTATAATTTTATATTCGGAATCAATGGGAAACAGAGAAATATAATTTTATATTCAGAACCAATGTGCAACTTTCTGCTACAATAATCTTTGGCAAGCATGGTTGAGAATTTAAGTCTGAAAATATTTCTGAAATTGATTTTTTGAAAAGAAAAGCACTGTAAGCAAATATTACTAAGACAAATCCTTTCTATTGAATACTATAGAAAAAACAAAATCTTGTCTTTCTATTCAGGAATTATTGTTATACGGAAGTGATAAAATACAGTTAAAATGCCTGTCTATGGATTGTTATTAGCACGTTAATATTCTACACTTAAGTTTTTTAAAAAAAAAACTTTGTTGTCTATTTCCAGGATTTCTTTGGTGTCAGTATGGTTGTTCCCTTGTTAAACCTTCATGTGAAATCTTTAGGAGTGAGTTCAACAATTGCAGGAGTGGTAGGTAAGCAGGCCATTTTTCTTAGTCAATGACTAGAAGCAAGTCATTTTTCAGCATAAGTCCCTTGGTGGCGTAGTATGTGTATTGTTGTAACTTACCGTTATTTAATTATATTTTATAACATGATATATTATTTCTTGTGGTTACAACAATAAACTTACTGCTCTTGATAAAGATTTTTCTTTGTAACAAAAGATTACATGGGGTATAATTTAGCAAACGTTGCTATGTAGAATCTTACTTTTTCACCAAATGAAATTCTACATTTAGGCGAGAAAACCCAAATGCATAGGTATAGTATAGGTCACGGGTTGGCAACCCGCGGCTCTGGAGCCGCATGCAGCTCTTTCAGCCTTCTGCGGCTCCCAGTCTTCCTTCGCCATTTGCAGTCCCACACAAAAAAAGTGGGACTAAAAAAGTTCAATCAATCAATTCCAGCTTCTCACGAAAAAAAAAAGATCTTGCAAAGTTGGAATTGATTGATTGAACTTCTTTTGTTTTTGGGACTGTCCACAAACTACTTCTTCTTGGGACTGCACGTGGCAGCGCTGGAGGAAGAGACAGAGGACTGCTGGAAAGAAAATGCTTGGGTCAGATGGGGTGCGTAGGGGGAGGTTTCTGCCAAGCATCGTATGGAGCTGGGGAAACGGGCTAGGTGGGGGGAGCTGCCAATGCCACTGCCATGATCCCCCTCCCCAGCTACTCAGACACCATTGCTGATATTTTCACCTGGCCTTCTTCTCATCTTCTGCACTCAAATCGGCTGCTAGCGGTTTGGATGGCTATGCTCCGTCCAAGTTGAAGAAAGCTGCTTTCTGCTGGCCTCCGCTTTCTTCAACTTGGATGGAGCAGAGCCACCCAAGCCGCTAGCAGCCGATTTGAGTGCGGAGGAAAAGAATGTTTCCTCAGAAACCACCCGAAGCTCCGCAGCTGGAACAGCTTCAGCCGAGGCTGCTTTACACCTTCCTCTCCAGCCTCAAAGCCGCTTAGCATCGTCGGCTGCAGAAAGCCATTCTGGCTCTCAGCTGTGCTCGAGCAGTTTTAATAAATGCCTCCGGCGAGACCCTATCAGGGCCCGAAGGAAAGGTCAGCTCTTTCTAGCCACCGTGTGCTCTCGTCCCATGGAGCGCCTTTTATGCATGAGGTGCCTGCCTCATTCATGCCCTGGAACGCGAGGAAGGTGGCCAGAAACAGCGGTGGAGGCATCTTCCCACTCGATAAGACTGATGCAATGTAAAGGTGCTGTGGGCTCAATTCTGGCCACCCCCTTCCCACCTGGACCTCTCCTCCAATCAGTTACTTGGATGCAGTAGCCTCTCTTCTTCAAGAAGCCTCATCCAACTCTATGCGGGGGATTCTGGCGAAGGGCACAATGAGGAACGCGAGGGAGATTGTTTGCTGTTTGGGGGAGGGAGAGAGGGATGGAGAGAGAGAGAGAGAGAGAGAGAGAGAGAGAGAGAGAGAGAGCGCATGTGAACTGCAGCAGACGCTGGTCTCTTCCCAACCCAAGTGGTGAAGCATCAATTTGGTTTCCAGACATCTTTTCAGAGCCCTGGGATGCATCTTTTTGTGAGGTCTTTATTTGCCTTGAGTAGTTCTTTATTTAATTAGCCATGCAAATTCAATCCAAGAATTATGTGTATGGAAATCATTATTCTAAGAATTAGAAAGCAGCTCAAGAGGCAATCATCCTGCCTGGTGTATCGTGTGGAGGGGCTCTATCAACTCTATGTTGGATATTGTCATCTTCTCAAGAGTACAGAGAAGAGCAACAAAGATGATTAGGGGACTGGAGGCTAAAACATATAAAGAACGGTTGCTGGAATTGGTTATGTCTAGTTTAATGAAAAGAATGATTAGGGGTGACATGATAGCAGTGTTCCAATATCTCAGGGGTTGCCACAAAGAAGAGGGAATATATCTATTCTGTAAAGCACCTGAAGGCAGGACAAGAAGCAGTGGATGGAAACTAATCAAAGAGAGTAACAATCTAGAACTAAGTAGAAATTTCCTGACTTTTAGAGCAATTAATCAGGGGAACAATTAGCCTCCAGAAGCTGTGAATGTTCCAACACTGGATGTTTTAAGAAGAGATTGGGCAACCATTTGTCTGAATGGTATAGGTTGGTAGTGCTGGCTCAATGGTCTTGAAACCGAGATGAGCATTGTCCCCTGTAGTTGGCAATAACTAAAGGAGTATAATCTGCAGGGACTCCTTACTTTTTATAACTGAGCTTTCAGGGAAGACAGACATATGGACAACCAACTTTGTTGGGAGGCACTTAGAAACTAAATCATTTAAATGTTTGATAAATCATTTAAACGTTTTCCTCAGTTTTAGCGGTTACATTACTTATTATCTTTTTTCAGCAGAAACAGTACAAACTCCAGTGTCTTTAAATAAAAAAGTTCATAAAAGTTCATAAAATCAAATCTTCCACAACAGTGGACCCTTCTCAGTTTTCAGCAGTGGCTTGGCATGTTTTCTGCCACTAAAAAATAAAATGGCAGTGGATGTTGGTCCGTATTCTGTTTTTTCCTAGTGACTTATATATGCCACTTCTTTCTTTTTTTCACACGAAGTTATTGAATCGTTTGTTCCCAAAAAATTAGTTTTAAGAAATGTATCTGGCCAAATGTATTACAGTGATGTCAAGAATAATTTGCTTTCTTCCTACTGAAAATCTATTGCAGAATGATCATCTATATATTTTTATTTCACTATTTTTTCTTCTAGGATCTTTATATGGAATACTCCAACTCTTTTCCAGCACCTTAGTGGTAAGTTTATATTCTTAATTCATAAATAACTACTGATTTTTTCAAAGGTTTGGAATAGTTCGATGCTGTAAAGAGAATGTATTTAAAATCTGTTCTTGTTTTGAATTGTCCCTGCAATAAACTGGGTTTGTTTCTCAGACAGACCTTTCTGTTAAAAATATTTGTATAGCTTTATTTTACTTTAAATATATTTTATAGTTTTGAAATTGAAAGCATTGATTTAAAAAAATGACACTTTAAAAACAGGCAAATCCAAGCCAACTTCCTGTATTGTCATGCTGTTATTACCCCAGATGTGGTTCAACCAACCTTACTTCTGTTTTGGAGTTATTCCACTGGCAATATTGCAAGTGGTTGCACTTGATCAAGCTTAAATGACCTTAAACATCAAGTAACAATTGGGCTATTAGTACTTGGAAAAGAGATCAGTTGAGAATACCAGAGTTGGTACCCTGGAAGATACAAAAATACCTTTTATAAAGATATTTAACTTCAAATCAAATCAAATCAAATCTTTATTACGGTTACACATCAAAATAAAAACGAAACATAAACAATATTTTTTAAAGCTAAAAATCCTATGCATCCTGGATATTTTTACAGTATTGGTGAGATGAGGCTAGCACAAATGTCTCTGTAGTACAGGCACTGAAGGATCATATGCCCTGTTCTTTCTGTATGTTCAGAATCACAGCAACAGTGCCTCATCAGGTAGGAAATTTTCCTTTATTGACCTTCAAGGACAGCTCAGAGAAGGGCATGACACTGTGTGAGAGTGAAGGTGCACCGGTGGCTGGGTACTTTGAGGCTGATTAAGTATATAATGGGAGAAGAAGAGTACCTGTTGGATTCACTGGCAATAAAGGTCAGGAAGCTGATAAGGTCCAATTAGTGCTCAGTGTCTGATGTATACTGTTTAATAAGAGTTTTGACTTGGTCTTATCGAATACTGAGAAGACAATCTAGATAGAAGCTGATGAATGTGATTTTAGTTGTCCCTGCCTTTTTCCATTTGGACTGAAAGTCATTCCTACTAGTTAGAGAGATAAAGGAGAATATTTAACTTTGACAAATAAAATACCATAACATTATTGTACTATTTTCAAGAAAACTATAGGGATCTATCCAAGAAATTGATTCAATTCAATATGTAATTCCTGCAAACAATGACTATCCCATTGTTTTGTCCCAGCCTTTCTGTTAGCCAATACTTAGGTTTTAAAAAGTACACGTATCCTTCGCTCCAATATAAAGATTATAGAAACAAACATTGTTCATCCCTATAGCACAATAGCACAATCTCTAGCCATAGCTATATGTAGCTGGTTCTATATCTTTAAATACTATTATCAAGATTTTTCTGTTATTTGCAGCAATGTTTTCTTCTCTTTAGATATCTATTCTTTATACAGGCAGGTCTCAATTAATGCAGTTAATAAACTCCATGAAATAGTCGCGTTATTCAAATAGCACTACTTGAAGTGATATTTCTGTGGAAAATAGCATAATTGATTCCAGCTGACAGAAATAGAAAAATAAAAATTTTAAACATAATTGTATATATTTATTAATGAAACACAGTGGTACCTTGATACTCAACTACTTTGAAATTCATTAAATTTGGTGCTCAATTCATTTTGATGAGAAAATTATGTTCCAACTTGTTTGTTTGGTACTCAACGTACAGGCTAGAACTTGTCGTTATTGGTTGCCTCATGACTCGCTACCCTTTCCAATCAAAACAAAGGGTGACACATTAGTTACATAATAGCTCTTGCCCTGTGCACATCCCCTTAAAGTATTATCTTAGCTTCTGTGGTCACCTTATGTATTTTTCTGGGTTTTTTTTTCTCATTAGTACAGGTAAAGGGAAGCTTTTATTATATTTAATATAGTAATTTATTAATTTTTAGTTTGTTCTCATGTAAAGTAATGATATACAATCCTATTTTTTTACATATTGCCTTAAAATGTGCATTGTATTTGGCTTGGTAATGCATTAAATTTATTTATATTTATTTATATTACTCTTTATGAGAAAATTTTGTTTGGTACTTATCATTTTTGGTACTCATTGCACCTCCAGGAACCAATTAACGAATACCAAGTTACCATTGTAATGTATAAAAGTCAAAGAGGTTAACCCCATATCCAACGCATACCTGCTATCTCCTGCAATTCTTCAAAATGAACCACTTCTTTTTTATTTTTCAATATTTGTTTTCATTCTGCAAAAACAACAGCATATAAAACTCATTATGGCAACTGCACATGCACTAACCTCAACCATATATGTGCTAACCCCACATTAACAGAATTTTGACTTTCATTAAATGGGTCCTTGTATCTATTTGAACATTGCAGTAAATCAAATTTTGCCCTAACTGTGACCTACCTGTAATTTACCTTGTTAAGCAACAAGGTATTTATTTATTTGTCTGTGTTTATGTTTGCTTGTTTATTTAATCTGTAAAACCAGTGTGCTATAATGGCTAAGATGTTGGGGTAGGAATGGGCAGACTCGTACAGATCTAACTCTGGCAAGAAAATTCATTTAGTGATTTTGGATCAGTCATTTCTTTCAGCCCAACCTACCTTTCAGGGCTGATATTTGGTGAGTAAAATAAGGAGAAATCCACAGGTCCCAAGGAAGAGATGCAATATTGGAATTCAACATTATGGAAGCACAAGCAATAGAACACAGTCAAACTAGAGTCTTGGACTTTAAGAGAGCTAATTTCAATAAACTTAGAGAGGGCTTGGGAAGGATTCCATTAGATGAGAATCCTCAAGGGGAAAACGACTCAAGAAGCTTGGGAAATTTTGAAAAGTGAAATAATAACAGCCCAGTCTAGCACAATACCAACAAAGAGGAAAAATAACAGCTCTCAAAAGAAACCAGCATGGCTGCATAAAGAACTCTCTGATAAATTGAAAGATAAAAAGGACAAGTATAAAAAGTGGAAAGAGGGGCACATAACTAAGGCAAAATATCAGCAAATAGCCCAAGCCTGCAAAGATGAAATGAGGAAAGCTAAGGCTCAAAATGAACTAAGGCTTGCGACCAAAGTAAAAAATAACAAAAAAAGCTTCTTTCAACATGTAAAAAACAAGAAAAAAGTGAAGGAAATGATTGGTCCATTAGTAGGTGAAAGTGGCAAGAAGGTGACAAGCAACAGGGAAAAAGCAGAACTATTTAACTCGTTTTTTGCATCTGTCTTTACATAAAGGGAAAAAACAAACCAACCTATCAAAAATAGTGCCATAAAAAACAGAATAGAAACACAAGTTAAGATAGGCAAGAAAACGGTAAGTGAGCACCTGTCCAGCCTAGATGAGTTCAAATCACCAGGACCAGATGGATTACACCCCAAGGTTCTCAAGGAACTGGCAGATGTGATCTCAGAACCATTGAACTATATTTTTCAAAGATCCTGGAGCACTGGGGAACTACCAGAGGACTGGAAAAGAGCTGATGTAGTTCCCATCTTCAAAAAATGAAAAAAATGGACCCAGGAAATTACAGACCTATCAGCCTGACCTCAATACCTGGGAAGATTCTGGAAAAGATAAACAACGAATCAGTGAACACCTAGATGCAAACAAAGTCATTACTAAAAGCCAACATGGGTTTGTCAAAAACAGATCATGCCAGACAAATCTTATTGCATTCTTTGACCAAGTGACAAAATTAGTGGGCCAGAGGAATGCTGTGGATATAATTTACTTGGACTTCAGTAAGGCATTTGATAAAATAGATCACAACCTACTACTTAATAAGATAGAAAAATGTGGGTTAGACAACATCACCACCAGATGGATCCGTAGCTGGCTGACCGGCTGTATTCAGCCTGTGGTCCTCAATGGAACCGCATCTACATGGAGGGAAGTGTGTAGTGGTATACCCCAGGGCTCTGTTCTGGGCCCAGTGCCCTTCAACATCTTCATCAACGATTTGGACGAGGGGATAGATGGGGAACTCATCAAATTTGCAGACGACACCAAGTTGGAAGGAATAGCCAACACTCCAGAAGACAGGCTTAAGATACAGGAGGATCTGGACAGACTTGAACACTGGGCACTATCTAACAAAATAAAATTCAGTAGTGAAAAAAGTAAGGTTCTATATTTAGGCAAGAAAAACCAAATGTACAGGTATAGTATAGGGGGTACCTTGCTTAATAGTAGTAACTGTGAGAGGGACCTCGGAGTCCTAGTGGGCAATCACTTAAATATGAGCCAGCAGTGTGCTGCAGCTGCCAAAAAGGCCAACATAGTGCTAGGCTGCATTAACAGAAGGATAGAATCAAGATCACATGAAGTATTAATACCACTTTACAATGCCTTGGTAAGGCCACACTTGGAATACTGCATCCAGTTTTGGTCACCATAATGTAAAAAAGATGCTGAGACTCTAGAAAGATGATTAGGGGACTGGAGGCTAAAGCATATAAGGAATGGCCGTTGTAATGGGGTATGTCTAGTTTAATGAAGAGAAAGACGAGGGGGAACATGATAGCAGTGTTCCAATATCTCAGGGGCTGCCACAAAGAAGAGGGAGTCAAGCTATTTTCCAAAGCGCCTGAAGGCAAGACAAGAAGCAATGGATGGAAACTAATCAAGGAGAGAAGCAACCTAGAACTAAGGAGAAACTTCCTGACAGAACAATTAACCAGTGGAATAACCTGCCTCCAGAAGCAGTGAATGCTCCAACACTGGAGGTTTTTAAGAAGAGACTGCACAGCCATTTGTCTGAAATGGTATAGGGTTTTCTGCTTGAGCAAGGGGTTGGACTAGATGACCTCCAAGGTCCCTTCCAACTTTATTGTTGTTGTTGTTGTTGTTGTTGTTATTAAAGAAATTCTTGAGCTTTATGAAGAAGAGCAGGATAAAAATTAATAAATAAATATAATATTAGTAAATCTGTTAGAAATTTACAAATGATAGATATCACATGTTTAGATGTAAGTTATTGGGGAAATATGGGTAAAGATAGGAATAAATAAATTAGTAGACAAGTATTAGACAAGCCAGAGGATTTTAAATTATAAGGCGCTTATTATTTATTTCATTGGATCTTCTACCCACATGTAAATTTGAATACAATCTATACATGATTAATAAACAGATATGATGATCTCAAAACATTTATGTTTTCTTACCCAGGGATCTTGGAGTGATCTAGTTGGAAGACCCCATTGCCTACTAGTATGCATTCTCTTCAGTGCAATAGGTTATTTTGTGCTTAGTATATCCACCAATGTCTTTTTATTTGCCATTGCTCGGACCTTTGTGGGTAAGTTTGTATTTCTCTATTCATATCCAAGTTTAATTCATTAGATAAAGGGGAGGAGGTATCAGATTGCCATTTTAATTCAGAGCAACTGTAATTATAAATTGATTGATTGATTATATGCTATCAAGTCAGTATCTATCTTAGCAACTACATAGAGAGCAACAAATAATTGTGGAGAAAATCTTACCTGGTTGTTCAGGTCTTCTAACAGTGAATCCATCATCAGAGTAACTAAATCCATCTGCGTTGCTGCTAATCATCATTCTTCTTACTTTCTTTAATATTGTTTTATTGTATTATAAGATGCAAGCAATGCATTAAATTAATTAGGTGCAGTAGTATTTATACATTAACTAGCACTAACTAGCACTATGATGATTTGGATTACTTAAATGTTTAAATATAAGAAAGAAAATTAATACTGACTAAGGTTTCTATGATGTTAATGAGCTTATGATTGTTTAAATTTACCTGTAGAGCTGAATGTAGCATTGACAGGCAATTGCAAAATGCATTAAGTAATTTTGTAATATAGTAATATTTATGCCTTAAGTTTAATGTTTAACACTAAACTTTCCAATGTATTATTTTTGTTATCTACAAATATTAAAAAAGAGAAAAATAGTGCAGAAGGAAAAAATACAAGTTGCTTGAAAATGTAGATAGGTATTTGGTTTCTAATTTCCCTTCTTTATAATTTGATCAATTTGCAGTATTTATAAATACTTATATCCTCTTAGAAACCAATTGTTAATGTTTATATTTGCCTTGCGTGACATATGGCACATATGGGAACCATTCTTGCTTTAATTGTCCTTTTCTTCCACCTTCTGTAGACAGCTAGATCTTTACATGATATGTCTGAAGTAAGATAATTTGAATGTGATTATTTGTTAACTGATTCATTTGTTTGTTTTCTTGGCTGTCTGTAGTATTCTCAAGAAACTCCCAACACCAAAGTTCATAAGCATTAATACTGCTCCTTTTCTCCTTCAGTCCAACTTTCACTTTTGTAGAATGTCATAGGAAATAAGATGGTTTGCACGATTCTGATCTTTGTAGGTGTAAACAGAATATCTTTTCCAAGGTTTTTGTGGCCATTCTACAAAGTGCTAGTCAACAGAATATTTCTTCTCTATTTTTCTATTTTCTCTATTTCATCTTTTGTTTCCCCCTTAGGTTCTTCTTTGAACAATGCATTAGCAAATAATTATTGCTGTCAGTTTAACTATTGGGTTCTTTAATAACTTGTTGGTTGAAAGACGTCTTTTTAAATAATTAGGAATCCAAATGTGTATAAAAAGTGAGGTTGACAAAACCAGTGTTGATAAAACTCTATCACAGTTAAGAGTTTGATGGCTTTCCTCATCTCCCAGCACTCAGACCCGCAAATCAATCACTGTCCTGAAGCCTCTCTTTGAGGAGCAGTCCTCTGGAGCATATGCAGGTGTTCTCTTATCCTCTTATTATCTGGAAAGGATCTGTTAAACCAGTCTTATCACCAGTAGTTGAGTCTTTGTTGACATGTCTCTGATCTTCTGGAGATATCTTGGTTTGGATTACTCAGAAATCTAAGAATAAGACTATTTATGATTAGTACTCCAGGTTCTGCTAGCATCAGATATATAATTATGATGTGCAGCTTGTTGCTTGGCTAGATAAGTAGGATAATGCTATTTGTTCATGTCTTGCTTGTAGATAGTTAACAGGATATAAGATTAGCTAGTCCTTTCACTACTGATTTTTTCAGTTATGAGAACTGTGCACACTTACCACTAGCATGATCAAAAAATAAACGTATGACTAATTTGCTGCAAAGTAATGCCATACTATTTTTCATAAAAATATTTAATGAAAATTATTTGATTTGCAACTGACAAATATTTGATTGAATTTTTCATTAGCATCATTTGTTCTCCATTTTGCTTTTATTTACAAAACAGGTAGTCCTTAGCTTACAACCATTTCATTTAGTGACCATTCGAAGTTACAATAGCATGGAAAAAAGTGACTTATGACCATTTTTTACACTTATGGCCATTACAGCATCCTCATGTTCACATGATTAAAATTTGGGCGCCAAAATTTGGGGAACCTTGTTACTAACTTAACAACTGCAGTGATTCATTTAACAACTTGAATTATTCAAATTTTGCTTCTCTACTTATCTTTTTTGTTAATTTTAGGTATTTTCAAACATACACATTCCGTTTCCAAAGTACTCATTTCTGACATGGTTCCTAAGAAGGAGCGCCTTTTAGTAATTGGATATTTCAATGCTATTTCGAATTTTGGTTTCATTTTGGGACCAGTTGTTGGAGGCTATCTTACAGAGCTGGAAGGTGGCTTTTACCTGACTGCATTTATCTGTGCTTCCATCTTTGTCTTGAATGCTGGTATGTGATTTGATTTATGCTGATATTTTATACTTGAATTACCAGTTGGGCGAGAAACATATTTCTGGGAACACACTTCTTCCCCTGATTTGACTTTATTTTTTATATTGTTTCATAATTGCAACAATATGAAATTGCAATTGCAAGTAACCTACCAATTACATGCTCCCTCCTCCAATTGTAAAAAATAAGGGCAGTATATTAATCAGATAAATAAGATAAAATTATGCTGCAGATATGTGTCTATGCATGAAAACTATTTGACTGTCTTGAGAGTTCAAAGCTGTGCGATTGCATTAATAACTTTTTAACAATCAGCAGTACCTAATATGCAGCCATATAAAGTGATTGTGCAATGACCATCAGATTATGACAAGAAAACATGTAATAGAGTGTCATGGTGTATAACTCCTTGGTTAAATTCTTTTGCAGTTGTTTTTTGGATGTTGCTACGATATGGAAAAAAGATGCACAGTCATGAATGGACCATTATTAACAAAGCCAGAAGTATTATTTCAGAAGAAGTAAAGCACAGCCATCAGACTACAACTTCAGCTTACAAAGCCACGTCATCTGTTCATCATAGGAACTCCTCTTGCATTGAAGTTATGTCTGTGCTGAAGAGGTTGGGCAGTGTTGCAAATTCTAATCTATGGGATGTTTTTTTGGTACGGCTCCTGATGTCTGTTGCGGTTATGCTCTATCATAGCAATTTTATCTTGGGCCTTGAAGAAAGGTTTGAAATGAAGCCCAAACTCACTGGCTACCTAATTAGCTATAGTAGCACACTTGGAGTAGCTGCTGGCTTTCTCCTTGGACCTATCACTAAATATTATAGGCACAATACTTTTGCTATGTTATTGCACTCTACACTTCTTACCTGCCTGTTTATGTTTCTGTATTCTGTATCAGAAAGTCTTTGGACAGTCATTTTGTCTTGTACATTTTTAGCATTTTCAACCACTGTGGGACGTACATGTATTACAGAACTTGAATTAGTTCTGGGTGGGGATCAAGCCAGTGGTATGCTTATTGGTGTTGGTCAGTCTGTTTCAGCTGTGGGTCGCATAATTTCCCCTCTTCTCTCAGGTGTTGTGCAGGAATACAGTCCACGTGGCCCACCAATTCTTGGAAGCCTGTTGGGGATTTCAGCAATTCTTATCATGGTCTTTAATAAGTCACGATATTCTGTCAGAAGGACCATGAAATTTAAAAGTATGTAATGACTTATTTACAGTGCTTTCCTTAAAGAAACCCAGAAAAACTCTCAAAGCAATGTTCTTCAATGTAGGGAAAATAGAAAATTATAAAACAGAGCAATAACATTTTAAATCAAACTGAAATCCTTTAAAGAAAAAGAGGAACCCATGTTTTCAGCTTCCTTGTGTTTATGTAGAATTTGGACCAGGGATTTTTTGATGGCACGTAATACCATTTTTCAAACCTTTTTTAAATGTTGCTTTGAACATCAGTGAAGAAAATGGAAGAACAACTGCCATTCCAGCAGATATTCACTCTCACTGCATACAAGGCCTTGAAGAGATGTTAATTTGCTTAATGGCAAGTTGGTTGTTGAGTTTAATCCCCAAAGGATGACTTTGTATTTAAAAATAGCATTCATTTCTCAGTCAGAAACAGATTTTGTTCAAATTCTTCTAAAATGAGTATTGAAACTGAAAACTATTTTTGATCATTCAGTTATCAAGATTTCACCAAGTGAATCGAGCTCCTTTTAAAAGTACATATTTAAGTAGTCACAGTTGTGTTTGCACAGTCTCTTTCTTCTTCATATCAAAGATCAGCTGCTTCAACTGAAACATTTGTTTAATCAAGCTCCTCACAGTTTTAATACAAGCTATTTATTTAATACAAATTTGACATTGACAAAGCCTTGTAAAAGTGCTCACTGCTGAACATAACTTACCAACTTCATGCTAGAGCCTTCCATACGAAGACTAATATATTTCTTTCCAGCTGGAGAAGGGGCGTTGTCTTACCTGAACGCCTTTTCTCAGCATGAGGAATGTAGACTCCACGCATGGGTTGATTTAGTCTTCTAGCCCAATCAGACCAAGCAATCAAAGTTGCCATGCCTCTGCAGGGTCTGACCATGCCCCAGTTTTCGAAAGGGCGAAAATGGCTCTGAACTGCTGACACTAACCTAGCTGCTAGTAATAATCAGGGAGGGGGTGGAGTCTACATTCCTCATGCTGAGAAAAGGCGTTCAGGTAAGACAACGCCCCTTCTCCAGCATGTAGAGGAATGTAGACTCCACGCATGGGACATACCAAAGCCCCTATGATCCCACGGGTGGGAAGCAGGTTAGTTAAGTGTCGGTGCTGAAATGGACCACTTGTTGTAAAACCCGACGGCCAAACACAGCCTCCGCGGAAGCAAACTTGTCGAGTTTGTAGTGGTGAATGAATGGTGAAGGGGACGACCACGTAGCCGCCTTATAGATCTCCTCTATGGACGCCTGAGTCTGCCACGCCGCCGATGTGGAAGTGCTACGAGTAGAGTGCGCTGTCAGGCAGCTTGGGACAGGTAAAGGAAGCCTGGTAAGATTGAGCGATACAGGCCTTGATCCACCTGGCTATAGTAGAGGAGGAAACCTTCTGTCCCTTGGAAGTTGAGTGGAAAGAGACAAACAATGCCTCCGATTTGCGAAAGGAAGCTGTCCTCTTAATGTAATGACGTAATGCCCTACGTACATCTAGGTAATGCCACTGCTTTTCTAGTGTGTGAGAAGGATTGGGACAAAAGTTTGGTAGTACAATGTCCTGAGCCCGGTGAAACAGGGTATTCACCTTGGGAATGAATGAGGGATCTAACCTCAGCACTACTCTGTCCTGATAGAAGGTACACAGGTCTTCCCTAACTGAAAGAGCAGCCAGCTCTGACACGCGTCTCGCCGACGTGATGGGTACTAGGAAAGCCACCTTGTGGGACAAAATGTGAAGAGGACAAGACCTTATAGGTTCAAAGGGAGACCTAGTGAGTGCCTGCAGAACACGAGGTAGTTCCCAAGATGGATACCTGTGTACTACCGGAGGTCTGTGTTGGAGACTCCTTTCATAAAGGATCGGACCCTGGGATGATGGGACAATGGAGTGGTGTTGGCACAGGTGAACACCGTGGAAAGAGCGGCCACCTGTCTATGCAAGGTGTTGGGCACTAAGCCTTTATCCACTCCATTCATGAGGTATTCAAGAATCACTGGAATAGTGACAGAAGAGATAGACAAACCCTTACAGGTACACCAGTCACAGAAGTTCTTCCAAGTGGCATCATAGATTCGGTTTGTCGCCGGCCGTCTGGAAGCTTGGATCATAGCTATCACCCTTGAAGAGTAAGATCCGCACATCAGGAACTGGCGCTCAGATGCCAGATGGCTAGTTGTAGCCACTGTGGGTTCGGATGGCATATGGCCCCCTGTGTTAGAATTATCCTCTCTGGAGGGATTTGCCAAGGGGGGGCTACGGCGAGGTTCACGAGATCCGCGAACCATGGACGCCTCGGCCAATACGGGGCCACAAGGATTAGCTTGTTCCTGTAACAGCTTCCTGATGACAGCCGGGATCAAGGGAAGGGGTAGAAATGCATATAGAAGGCCCGCCGGCCAAGGGCTGTGGAGGGCATCTGCTCCTTCCGAACCCTGGGATGGGTACCGAGATAGAAACCGGGGAAGCTGGGTGTTCTTCGGGGATGCAAATAGGTCGACTTTGGGCCGACCGAAAACGGTGAGTTATCTCCCGAAAGAGATGGGGATGTAGGCGCCATTCTGAATGATCTATCGTAGATCGACTCAGAAAATCTGCCTGGTCGTTTTCCACCCCTGAAATGTGTTCTGCCTTTAGGGACAACAGATTCTGTTCTGCCCATGACCCCAGACACTGGGCCTCGGACATTAGAATCCGTGATTGAGTGCCGCCCTGCCTGTTGACATGGGCCTTTGCCGCCACGTTGTCTGTCAGAACCAGCACGTGGTGGCCCGCCAACTTCTTGTGGAAATGGCGAAGTGCTAGGTGTATGGCTCTGAGCTCTAACCAATTGATATTTTTCTTGAGATCCTGTTGAGACCACCGTCCCTGGGCGAATTGAGATTGCAGATGTGCCCCCCATCCAAACAGACTGGCGTCTCTGGTCAAGGTTACCCGGTCGGTTCTCTGAACAGGGATCTTTTGGACAGTGCTGGGGACAACCACCAGATGAGGGACGTGAGTGTCTGTGGTGGGACTCGCACCCTCTGTGGAAAACATGCTACACCCCGTTTCTGGTAAGGGAGTAGAAACCACTGTAGTTGTCTCGTATGAAGCCTGGCCCAAGGCACTATGGCAATACATGAGATCAGTTTCCCTAACAGCTGTGACAGCAGGAGCAGGGTTACACGTTTCTCCTTGCGCACCCTGGTGACCATCGTACGTATGCTGAGCTGACGCTCCTGAGACAGGAAAACTCGGCACTGGCTGGTGTCTATTATTGCACCTAGGTGGAGCAAACGGTTTGTTGGGATCAGATGGCTCTTTGGGAAGTTGATCATAAATCCATGATCCTGGAGTGTCTTGATCATCAGTGCCACGTCTGAACGGGCGTTCAGTGCCGAGGACGACTGGATTAGGATATCGTCCAAGTAGCACTGAACGCGGACTGGTACCAACCTGAGCTGTGCGGCGAGAACCGCCAGGATTTTGGTGAAAACCCTTGGAGCTGATGATAGGCCGAATGGCAGGGCCCTGTACTGATAGTGATGGTTGGAATACCTGAATCTGAGGAAACGCCTGTGATTTGGATGTATGGGAACGTGCAGGTAAGCTTCTGTCAGATCTATGGATGTAAGAAAATCCCCCGGCCGAATACTGCCCAGAATAGAATGAAGAGTTTGCATCTTGAATTTTTGGTAAATTAGGTACCGATTTAGAGCCTTGAGGTCTAGGATCGCCCTCCATCCTCTTGAGGGTTTTGGTACCACGAACAGGATGGAGTAGAAACCCAGTCCCCATTGATCTGGGGGTACCCGCTCTATTGCCTCTATGCTTAACAGATGACAAATGGCCTCCTCCATGAGACCTTGTTTCACGGGATTTCTGGATAGGGGGCAGGAGATGAAGCGCCGAGGTGGGAGTGTGAGGAACTCCAGAGACAGTCCGTCTCTGATAGTGGTTAGAACCCAATTGTCCGTGGTGGTACTTTCCCATTTGTGGAAATATAGTGCCAGTCTTCCGCCAATGGGAGGAATCCGCCTCAAGTCACTTTGACTTTCGGAAAGGACGACCTCCTCTGCCGCGAAGGGGCCTCTTAGCCTGGAATTGTGGCTTTGGCTTGTCTCTGTAGCCGGACCGGTCCGATGAGCGGTCCGGCCCTGCTTGAAAGGGCCGATACCCGCTCCATGTAGTTCGGTCTGAGCCAGACTTGAACGACGGACGCCGGTTGTATGGAGAAAAACGTCTGCCCGTTTTTTTGACAACATGAACTAGTACTTTCAACTTTTCTTTGTTTTCAGTCAGGTAAGGAGTGAGAGCCTCTTCAAAAAGGCGACCCTTATGATATGGTGCCACAGCTACTCTCCATTTGTGCCTGGTATCGGCCTTCCAATTTTTTAGCCAGAATAACCGGCGTGCGGCCACGTTGGAAGCTATGGCCCGAGCCGAATATTTGGCCGACTGCAGAGACACATCCGCCATGTATTCCAGTGCGGCCCTTAGTTTAGTGACATCCTGGTGAACCCTTACCTCGTCTGGGGATAATCTGGCCTGTAATTCCCTGAGCCAGATTAATGCAATTCTAGCGAAAAAAGAGTTAGATGTTGAGGCTCTTATAGCCCAAGCCGATGCCTGATGGGTCCTTTTGAGGGAAATCTCAGACTTCTTGTCCTCAGCCTTAAGGGCCTCCGACATATCTCCTGGGATTTTGGTGTCTGACAGTATGGGGGCGAGAGCCTCGTCTACACTCGGAACTTCGAGGACATCGTTGAGGGAAGGGACCGCATCTAAGAGCTTACGATCTAATCCCTCAAGAGCAGAGAAACTTCCAGGAGATCCCCACTGATCCTGAATGGATTTGAGAAACATAGGGGGGCAAGGTATCTGTAGGTTCTTCTTGACCGGTTCCAGAAACAGTGGGTCAGAACTCTGTCCAGAGTCCTGATCGGTCGTCTGTGGTTTCACGGGTTCAATTTTTCCGGTGACATAGGCCTTTTGTAAAAGAGGATAGAAGGAATTTGGATTAAACACCCCTACCATAGGAGTGGCCTCCGCCTGAATGTCTTCCCCGTCTGACCACATGCCTTCTTCCAGAATCTGAGCAGAAAAATATGATATCTCGCTCCCTTCAGATTGAGGTGGAGAACCGTGATCTGAAATCACATACTCCCTGGGATGCCTAGTTTCCGTGGGTGTAAGGGGGGTTGACGGTCCTTGGACTGGAATGGCCCTCCCAGAAGCCGCCATTGCCTGAACCACTGCCTGTGAGATCATGGCTTGGAGCTGGACAGTAAATGAAAGATGTTCGGGGCCCCGAAGACCCGCCGCCATCGGCGTGAAAGATGCTGAAGGGATTTGGGGAGGGACGACTGTAGTAACCTCCCCCTGAGACCCACAAGACACTGAGGAAGGTCCTGGCTCAGCAGCTGGAATTGAATCTTGGACCTGTAATCTCAATTCTCGGTCAAAGAGGGACAGATGGTCCCGTTCATATCCCAGCAAGGGACCCTGGTCCAGGGTCTGCTCGGGAGACCAAGCCTGTGTAAGAGGGGAAGGTCGATGCTCCCCTGATGTGGATGCAAGAGGAGGTGAGGGGATAAGCTGCGTCTCTCCTGTCTGCCGCTGGGCTTTGGAGAATTGTCGCTCCAGCACCCCATGTCTGCTATCTGCTTGCTTGTCATTGGC